TCCACATTCCCATGATAGGACCCAGTCTCTCCATTCTACAATAATTTTAGATTTCAATTTTATTGAACCTGTTGAGATGATGTGCAGTCACAACCCCCACTTGGGAATTTCAACTCGCAAAGCATAACATCTCTTATCACAGCGCCACACAACCTCGTATTGCTATCAGAAATATTATAAACGTCAGTTAATATCTCACAAATCTGTAGTCCCTTGTTTCCTATCGTATAAACACGAGCACAAGTGGCAAAAGCAATCTTCGCAGTGCTTGGCATGGTTTAGATTTCCGGTATTGGGTACCTAATCCCTCAGGCTAATGGCTGGTGTGCAGGTCTGCACCCACAGGCCAAGCGGATGGAAGTTCTCCTGCGATGTGCAGGGCTTCGCAGCCCACTCCTCTCCCGAGGTAAATCTACCGATGCATTCCCATAAAGCCATTGGCCAAGCCTGGCGTTGTACAGGCGTCTCCATTTAGAATGCAATACACTACAATGTGGATGGATACATTCCAATGCAAGACAGATGCTTAATGCCCTACGGATGGACTGTTCCTCATCATAGCGATGTGGCGCATGGCTGCTAATAGCGATAACCACCACTCCACATGAGCCTAAGGAGGAAGACACTTTGGGTATTTAAATAAATAATCATTCCTCACCCTGATGAATTGCCTTTTGCGGCAAGTGCTGTGCGTGAGGATCTGTTGCTTGAGAGGTGGGGCCAGCACCACCGTGTGTGCCCATCCACCTTTGGCTTCCCCCTCAGTGCTTGGGTTCACACTCCACTTGTGGCCAAATGACCCCGAGCGCGTCGAGCCTGGCGAGTGCCGCAGTCGGTGCTCGTCACGACCTGTGACCGGCGTAATGGGCGGCGCGAGCGCGATGCAGCAACGGCTGTTGTAACCGGCGTGGTGAAGTATGGTCAAATATCCCTCGCTCACCCGCGGGGCGCGCCGGTGCCCTCTGCCAGCGGTGGATCGATAAATTTGGCTGTGCGTGCACACGCACGACTCCGGGAGTGGGGGAGATCCGGGCCAGGTTGTTGAAATCCCGCTTGGCTTATCACCGGTGCTGAGAATTTACAGCCAGGAGCCGATTCCAAGCCCCGGGCATCTGAGCGCCGCGCCACTGCTGCTCCCGTGCGCGTGCGCACGCTTGCCGCCAGGGCTGAGACCCCCGCTGCTTGAAGCGACGTCGAGGATGAGAGGGGTGAGAGATGAAAGACGAAGCCCCCGTGAAGCCGCGAGCGCCCCGCGTGCGCGTGCACGGCGCGCCGGGCCGTTGGAAGAGCCCAGCGTGGGGAAGAGCCCCCGAATTAACCCGACGGTGGCAGCACCGCCGCTCCTCCCCCACCGCCACCGCCGCTGGGAATGCAGCCAAATACCAGACGTGCCCGGCACCAGCTGCCGTGGCTCGCGCAGCTGATGCGTCCAGACGGAGTGGCTGCGGCGTCACGGTTCACGCCCAGGGGAAGGGAGCGAGGGAGGCCTTTGGCTGAGCCTCGGCGCGGAACTACACGAGGGGGTCGCAGAGAGAGAGTTGGGCGGATGACTTGCGCGTGAACGTGTGTGTGTCTTTGTGGGAGGGGAGAGAGATGGGGCGGTAGTGGTAAACACTGCGTGTTATGAACCCGGCGACCCAAGTACGATTACCGCTCGCGGCCAACATCGGTGACCAATTTATAACCATGGCCTGGGCCTGCCTCCAAGTCAAGTTGGGCTTAAATGAGTTCCTGGAGCGGTGCCTAAACATCATCAACATTGGGGAGACTGAGATGACTGGACGTGGTGCCGGTTACCCACCCTCGAGTGCTGTGCCAGCCTTAATAGGTGCTCGCTAACAAATAGATGTGTGCTGTTTCCACCTCTGGATGAGGGCTGCCACGTGGAAATGAGCATGGCCCAATGGTTATATTAAGGAATATCGCCCTGAACACAAGGTTTAGAATCAAGACAAAATCTCCATGTGCACCGTGGTTGAGCCAGGTGAGTGCCTGGATGGGGTGACCACAAAGGCCTCTGCCGGGTGGTGTAGGCATGGAGCTGTGAGGTGGCGAGGAGACGGCGGTGCCGGGCCGAGGTTTTCTCCAGGTACTCAAGTTCCCTCCCGTATGCCAAACACTTCTTCAAGGTATTCGCCAAATATCTCCAAAGTAAAACCCTCCTATAAAGTTCTGGAAACTCGGTGAGGCTTTACCGGGTAACAAAAAAAGACATTGGAAGAATTTCTGGCTTTTCTATTGCACAAGATGTGCACAGAACCTCTATGGGCTCTTGGCCTGACTAAACATAATAATAGAGCACACCAACATGATACACACTCCTTGCCTTTTTAAACGGTGTGCGCGTGAGGCACGGCTGTTGGGGAGCTCGTCGGGCGAAGGCTGGCCGCGGTTGCCGCGTTAGTGCGGCACGGGTCGCCGAGCCGTGGCGGTTAACGGAGCGGTGCCGATGCGACGGAGCGTGAGGCACGGTGAGGGCAGTTGCCCGGGCCAGCACTGCCTCGATGTGACGCGGTCATTCAGAATCCTGTGGCCTCACAGAGAAAGCAGCAAGTGACCTTGCTGAAACAGTGTTATTATCCTACTTGGTTTCCTTGAAAGAGGATGGCGCCTGGTCCATCGATGTTACAAAAGGCTTCAATCCCTACGCAGAAGAACTCTCGTTTTGCTCCTGAAACTACTCGCTCATTGTGTCTCGGGAAAATGCTTACCCACAAACGATTTTGTGGCTGTGAACACGTGACCCGTGCAAGGCAGTAGGAGCCGGGTCTCCTAATTGGCGTGGACCAGCCGTAGGATCACCGAGTCTACAATACGTATCACTTCGTGTGGTCTTTGTCATTACCGGGAATACAAAGGCAACGGGGGCGCATGTGTTGTAGTTATGGCCACACCAACCCCTTGTGTGCTCTTCCGGCCTTACCAGGTGCTCGGCAACAGCACTTGGCCCCTATGTGACTGTAGGCCTAAACATTGACCCTTTCCGTACGTGTGTGTATGCTTACTGACAGAAAACTTTAAACAAGTGCTTGTTATGTTTGCTCCCTTTTGAGAGGAATGTCAGAAATCAATGTTTTGACCAGCTGCCTTTTTCTCAACATAAAAGAAAACTTGCGTCCGTAAGGTCAGCTGGGCAAAATCTCAATGGCTTCTGTAACTCTTGGTGAGAAATAAAGTCGATTACGAAGCCACTCGAGGCATTCCTGCAAACACCATCACTCCACACCAAGCTTTATTTTTATCAGCGCCAAGGCACTGAGAAAATGTGGCCTTGACAGAGAATGCAGAGTGGTAATGTCGGTTCACATCCAGGTCACATGGTCAACTCGACACCTCGCCATCATCCCTCCTGGACAGGCAATCGCCATGCATCAGGACCGCTGTGATAGACTGCGGCGCGATAGTGTGAGCAGAAGAGGGCATTTTTGTAGCAAAATTAATTGTCGTCCTGAACATCAATTGCTTCCCACATTCAAGCCACAATGACCAGCATGGTGAGATGTGATCAATAAACCCTACGATGCACACGCCACGGGGAGGACAGATTTGCTGTGCAGGTTCCTCTCGCTCTATGCTATAGTAAAAGCTTTCCAGAAAAAGGCTCACAAAGCGACACAGCACACATAGGTTAAAATACTTACAGCATGGAGTGGGACACCTTTTGTGCCAGAGATGTGGCCACGAGCCAACTGGTTTGGGTTTATTGTTCATACAAGTGGCTTGGATTAAGGATTTTTATCGTATCGCTATAATTGTATCGAATTCTTATGTTCGGACGCTCCTGGACTTGCAATCCTGAGGTCACTGGCTCGATCTCGCAGCGCACGCCCGTTCCATCAACAGGGTAACTTTCTTAAATCCTTCCTCCACCTCTGTCCACCCAGCAGTAAACGTGGGTACACCGCAGTCGACCGGCAGGTCATGTGCGGTGGGGTAAGTGTGGGTACGCCCACCTTTCCAAGACTTCTGGTCGGAGTGGAAGAAATACCTCCTAGAGGGGCCATCCCACGCTCTAGTGGAGGCATTCTGCGAGCAGAGACGTTGGCAAGCACTTGCAGGGCTGCACCTTCACCTCAACGTCTATGGTTCATTTAAATGCTCGGTAAGCCAGACTTTGGAACCCTTGGGTATAGACCCGAATGTATGATGCACTTATGCCCGAGACTCAAAGCCCCAAACTAAGGCATTCCTCATTAGTCACAGGATTCGTTGTTAATACCCGAGGTTTATACCAAGGCATTGTTAGCATAGTTAGGGTTCAGTGTTAATACCGGAAGCTCAGAGAGCCAGACTAAACCATTTTTTGGAATCTTAGTATTCGGTACTGTATTCATAATGGTGACAGATGTTTGTTGGGTGTCTTTGGCAACGTGGAAGAGCGCTCTGCTAGGTCAAGAGTTCAATTTCCCATCGTGGGTCAACTCGGCTCATCCATCCATAAGGGACTGATAAAACAAGTACCAGTTTCTGAGGAGTCAATAGTCACCCTAATCGGGCCTGTGCATAACCACCGCTACACGGTACGAGTGAGTGGTATGTGAGAGTAAACTTCATGGAAAAGATGCACGTACCAGGGGAAAGGCTGAAGGTGCTTAAAGAGCTACTAAAGTCTGGCTGTGTCCGCCTGATGAAGCTGGTTGTAATTACGGGAGAAACGTCGCACTCGGATTGTAAATGTTGTGGCTTGTTTTGTTTACGTGACAAACCTTACTAGTTGGCTGTGTCGTGTGGTGGCGGGTTTAACAACACATTTATATTCACGCGATCTAACCCAAAAAAAAGCTCGTGGATCTATTCAATTGTTGCAGTCACCGTATCACCAAAGTTGACAAAACCCAGCAAGCTCCTCTCCGAATACTAACCAGGCTATTTTATCAGAGCTCTGATGGAGAGCACACCGGGTGAGTGGACAAAGTTGGCCTTTGTTCAATTGTGTGAGTGCGAGTGCGATGATGCACAAGCTTGGCTAACGCCATCGTCCGCCGCGTGCCGTGCCGCAGGAACGAGATGTCCGGGCAGCGGCCCCAGTGCTGTGACCACCCGGGAGGGATCCTGGATCTGGAACTGCCGCCGCCGCCACCACCGTGCCCCACCGATGACTCGGAGCTCATCAAGCCGCGCCGCCTCGTGAACCCCGTGAAGGAGTCGCGGGACCACCGAGACCTCCACCGCGAGCTCATCTGCAACCACAAAACGTTGAGTGAGCGCGCCCTGCAGCCAGCGCCGGGTGGCGCGATCGAGCGGTCCGCACGGGGGGGGGGAGGGACCCGCCGGGGTCTCTGGGACCTACCGCCAGCCCCGTAGGGTCGTGGAGGCTGGAGGGATCTGGTCCCACTTCCCTCTCCCCCCTCCTACTAAAGGCTTGGCCCCCCAATAAAAATGTAATAGTCGAGTCAAGCGTTGGACATCGGCACCTTTCTGCATGTGCAAAAAGGAGCTTGTAGAGCTAGAGCAGAAAGCATGACAGGCGACAGCAGATCGTATCTTTACTCATTCTGAATTGTTATCGTCGGCAGCCACGACCAATCCACTGCTGGATGATGGCCTTCCCAAGCCACGGTGCAACAATCCGCCCAGCACCTGCGCATGACGGATTTGATCGCTCCATCTCCTCGGCAGACGTCACTCTCGAACGCGATCCGTTCCTTGTGTGGATCTGGGCAGGGACCTGCCACGTGAATAGATTACAGCTGCACCACATGTGTTCCGTGTTAATTAACTTGTACTTTACCATAATTGTGCTTGTACATAGCAGGGTGTGCATATAGGTGCTCTAGGACCACTGCACTGCATGGGCTACTGTGAGATTTGTCTTCCTGGCAGCTGTTCATACGGTGGACGAATAAACGATCGCTGTAAATTTAGCCCGTGCATTGTGACACCCAACTCTAAAATTCCCCAGATTTGAATGAATACGCCGTTGTGTGTGTGCGGTGTTGACATGCACGCACTGCAGGGTAATGTTCTGCATTCGAGTAAAAATTCCACCCTTTGGTTTCCCTGCCCTTCAAACGTTCGCGACTGAAGCACATCTAATCGCCTCTGGTTCCTGCTGTCTTCTTGCAGTGTGCAGCCTCCACGCCTGCTTCCTGTCCGATAAGTTGCCACCATAATCTGATTCCCCATTGGCCCATAACTCAGCCGCTCGATGCCAGAGAGAGGGTCCTTGGCAGTCCTCCCTCACAAACCTTCCATGAAAAAAGTTTGACTTTGGTAACAATTCTCGCGCTTGATCTGGTGCGCAAGGCTCTCGCGACCGGCATTATGTTTGGCACATGGTTCCTTTTGGGTTGGGGTCGTGTGAGGATGTGTGGCGTGAACCCTCCTCCACCCGACGCGGCCAATTCACGTGACGCTTGTGTTTAAATTGTCGGGTGACGGGAGGGGTTTTACGACGCACTTTTACTTGCGCCAATTGTGAATCAATTCTTGTGGAAGCTGTTTCGGCTCCCAATTACAATCACAAACGTTGCTGTCGGTGCTAGGCCGCTCCTCGTGCCCGGCAGACCTCGCCGTCGGCATTTAGCTCCTGACGAACGTTATCACCGTTGTACGCAGGAATCGAAATAGCTTTGCCACAAAATCTCCATTTGGAGCTCTCGTGGCACCCAGTGGTGCATCACCATCTGTCGGAGAATGTCCCGGAGTGTGGTCTCGTTGGTTGTTAAGTTGCCGAAGTGGAGGGGGTGGGGGGGACACGTGGCCTAGCGGTAGCACGCTCGCTGCTTGCTGTTGTAGAGGTTCACAGCTCGAACATGACGGGCCGCCCTGGTTATTCCTGTCTGCTTCACAGTGGACGTTGAAGATCCCGTGACGTCATTTGTAACGAGTGAGCCCTCATGTGCCGGCGTCATGGTCTAAAATTTGAAAAGTGCCTCTGGTATTTTCTGAATTTTGAAAGACAAATACAGCAGCATCGCCCCCCTACTGGCACAGACTAATGTCTACATGCAGGCCAGTACTGTACTGTGTTCAACCTTGTTCCGCACAGGGACAGCTGCCATCAGCGGGGTCCCCCTAGGCTAACTTAAAAACTGCACTGAGAGGATTGTTACGTAATGGGAGCGGCTCTATTTTTGCGTGTGGCAATAAGTTCAGGAGGTAAATGCCAAGGGGCACAGCACAAACACGAGTTAAGGTCAAGCGCCTTGCGTGCCCTGCAAAGATCGTCGCATTACAAATTAAACTGTTGAATGCTCAGAGCGGTAAGGGACCAGTTGATCAACAAAGTTTAACACGAAGGTTTATTTCGTGTAATTATTCATGACATAAATTTGGTACAAACCCAGGTCTCAACAGTACAGTGTAAAACTAAGAAATGGGATGAAACTATCAAGCGTTATGTAACCTAAAAGGAAAACAAGACCACAGAAACCACCAAAAATCCGCGAGTCCGCTCTGGACCGCATAGTCCGGTGCTCCAGGGGTGACCGCACAGCACTGCTCTCTAAAAGAGGGCTTTGCTGCACTAGCGCTGCAATGCCACATGACGTCTCGGTGCAGTGTGCAGACGCAGCTGGCCATGTCGGCATCGCCACCCTCGCTGTCCCTTTTTTAGTTTCGGGAATTAGAGATTTTTTTTCTCCCATTTTCTTTCCTATTTTTAGGGTTTTCTCTAAAGCACCGCATGATATTCTGGCTACGGTATGTCTGCCCACGCTATGCCAAGGACATGCCGCACGTGACATGCCAACCTCTATGCGTGCTCGCGAACAGTGTTTGACCAAAGAGACTGAGGCTAACTTAAGGAAGGGGTCGGCGTTTGTTGTCTGTGCGTTACAGGGGCAACCTGCCGCTGAACAAGCCGGAGCTGCAGAAGGTGATGGAGAAGAGGAAATGGGAGCAAGCCGGGCGGCAGCGGAAGGAGGAAGAGGCCTCGAAAATCAACCCCCTGGAGAAGGAGCTTCAGAAGCGACAGCAGAAACTTGAGCAGGTGACGCTGCGTTTCTTCCCGGGAATCCACTCGCCCGGGCATTCCCACCGAGCCCTCACATTCTCCGGGGTCTTTGTTGTTGCTCAGCGGGCAGGTGGGCGGGCAGGTGGGCAGGCAGGTGGGCAGGCGGGCAGGCGTCGCCCATGGCACCCGCTGCGTCGTCCGGTCCGGCTCTCGCTTCAGCCTTCCCACGCAGGCTTTAGTTTGGCCTCTACCGCGCTACGTGGCGTCGCACCGCCCACGCCGCGGTGCGGGGGCCGTGCCCTCGTGGTGCGTGCGCGTCGCATGGTTTGTGTGTTTTGTTTACGGCTCGACTAGGACACGTGACAACACAAACAAGACGGACAATGCAAACGAGATTGTCAAAATAAATGAGACGGGCAGTACGAATTTGGGACTTCACGCAGCACCATTGGCCCCAGCTGGCAAGATCACTGATGTGAATGTTGAACGATGACGACAACGACGACAGTGGTGGTGGTGGTCCTGGATCCGGCCCTCGTGTTTTAAAAGAGCACGGCGCTGCGATTATCTCTCTTGGGAGCCCTGAGCCAGTTGTGGAACTTTTACATTCCCAAAGCGGTAGCCAATAATTTCTCGAAGATAAGCACTCAATTTTTTTTATTATAAATAATAATAATAATAATTAATAAATAGCTCTGGGTTGTGGTTATAAGGAGCATGTGTTGATTTAAGGTAATGGGCCATGTGCTATTTGTGGCACGGGTGGATTTTTAGAGTTGTATATACATTCTCCCACGCTCTTCACCCTTAGCTTTTTTTTTTTTTTACAGCCGTGGGAGTAAATCATCGAGCGCAGCCAGGCGGCACTTTGCAGATAACCGTCACTCCGGCACGCCACCCAATCGGCTCAATCTGTGCCCTCGTCATGCTAGCGTGTATCCTAAACACTCCTGCACCCACGTGATTTACCGTAGAGAGAACAAACGTGTTCGCTGGAGAACGGAGGCAATGACTTGCGCTTAAGGGCATAGTCGTGGACGCTGATGGACAGAACGGAACGAGGCGGTGAGAGGTGCATTCGTGCAATGGACAGAGGCAGAAAGCGCAACGCGGAGGATCGGTGTGCAAGTGGCAGGCCCAACGTCGAGTGTTGAGAGAGCCAGCCGCCGGCTTGGGAAGGAAATGAGGGATGACGATGGCCGGTGGGCGAGAGTGAGGATGGAGTGGCAGTCGAGGGAGGGACCGTGTCGATGACTGTGTGCGTGGCCGGTTGGCGCTGTGGCAGGGCACCGAACTGAGAGGAGGGTGCGAGTTCAAACCCTGAGCAGGGTTGGACTCGACTTATAATTTGTTTACAGGCGCTAAAATGAGTCTCACTTTGTTTGAAGTCAACAGTGATTGTTTTATAGAGAGTGGCGGCACCACAACACGAATGCGGAATTTCCTGACAACTCGACTGTGGAAGTATTTGTCCCCAATGAGAATGCTGTTGAGTTTTCATTCGTGCTGTGTGATGGTGATGGCATCGTACTCATGTACATGTGCATCCCTTTTGATGGAGGCCCCCCAGGGGTCGTAGGGATTCTTTGACCATACTTCACCTCACTGGTCAGTGCGGGCTGGTGGAGGTAGGAGAGGTTAGACGTCTCAGCTTAGTACAGTACAACAATTACTTTTGCTCTGCTGCCCACAATTAGTCTTAACAATGCTTTGTTTATCAATAAATAGGAGAGTCTCAACAGCCTCTCAAGGAGGGCCCTGCAGTTGCAAGTTTGACAAAATTCCATTTATAAATTAGTTTTTTTTTTTGGTGAGTGGGTGCCTGGACATCACAGTACCCGGAGAAGCCACGCAGGTATGAGGGGACATGGCGCGGACAGACTCGCGGCACTGGAGGGTCGTGAAATGTGTCGCGCTGCCAACTTCTGGCCACGTCTCGGCGCAGTTTCACTGCACACGGCGATCTCTGTGTGATCCACCAACGCCGCCTCCACCGTGCTGGGTTACAGGCATGCGGCGCCTCATAGGTTGTCATTTACTTGACCTCTGCCATCAGTGATCAGGTTGGTGTTTCATGATAAAGGCAACAAAGATGATGATGATGATGATAAAGACCACTGGAGTGTTGACCGGCAATTTTTATGATAAACAATTATGGCAATGACACAAACGGGATGAAAATAATTATAATGATGATGATGAAAGTGGTGATGACAACCATGATGATGATGGCGTTTAAATGTGTTCTCTGTCACAGCTGGAGTTGGAGCAGCAGAGGCAGGAGGAGGCCCAGAAGGAGGCCCCGGAGTTCGTGAAGGTGAAGGGAACGCTACGCAGCGCCGCCAAGACCCCGTCAGAGCAGCCCAGCATGGAGCAGTGATAAACCCACACCCAGCCCAGCATGGAGCAGTGATAAACCCACACCCAGCCCCGTATTGCAGCATAGATAAACCCACACCCAGCCCATGTTGCAGCATAGAGAAACCCACACTCAGCCCATATTGTAGCATTTATAAACCCACACCCAGCCCATATTGTTGCATTTATAAACCCACACCCAGCCCATATTGCAGCATAGATAAACCCACACCCAGCCCATAGTGCAGCATAGATAAACCCACACCCAGCCCATGTTGCAGCATAGATAAACCCACACCCAGCCCATGTTGCAGCATAGATAAACCCACACCCAGCCCATATTGCAGCATAGATAAACCCACACCCAGCCCATATTGCAGCATAGATAAACCCACACCCAGCCCATGGTGCAGCATAGATAAACCCACACCCAGCCCATGTTGCAGCATAGATAAACCCACACCCAGCCCATGTTGCAGCATAGATAAACCCACACCCAGCCCATATTGCAGCATAGATAAACCCACACCCAGCCCATATTGCAGCATAGATAAACCCACACCCAGCCCATGTTGCAGCATAGATAAACCCACACCCAGCCCATATTGCAGCATAGATAAACCCACACCCAGCCCATATTGCAGCATAGAGAAACCCAGCCCAGCATGGAGCAGTGATAAACCCACACCCAGCCCCGTATTGCATCATAGATAAGCCCACACCCAGCCCGTATTGTAGCATTTATAAACCCACACCTAGCCCATATTGCAGGATAAACCCACACCCAGCCCATGTTGCAGCATAGATAAGCCCATACCCAGCCCATATTGCAGCATAGATAAACCCACACCTAGCCCATACACACTCCATTGGTAAAACGCCCAGCCATTGCACAGTGAAACACCGGCTAGACCCATTACACTAACCAGCCAGCCATGAATCACTGCAGTAGCGATGGGCCCAGCCAATCCACCCCACCGACGACGAGGAATCCATTGCCCTCGCGTCCCAGACCACACGCAGTGACCCAGCGGGGTAGACCCATCGCACGGAGCGGGAGAACTTGCCCAGCACGTTTGGACATCAACGCATCTTCCTCAAGGCCTCTCTGAATGTAGGCCTTATATTTAATTGCATTCAGAATCACACAAGATCCATACATTGACAAACAAATGCAATTGTCTGCAAAGTTTGCTTGCACAATATTTAAAAAAAATAAATGATAAAAAAACGATAAAAATATAAGTAGATAGTTACCCATAAAATACTTGTAATAATGTTAAATAGTAATAGCGAAGCGATCTGGGAGTGGCTCGGAGAGCTCAAGATGGCCATGTCACCGAGCTGGCACTGCTGTGGTTCTGGGTTTGAATTCTGGCTCCACTTGCGTGTGATTTAAACCGGGGGCTCGCGTACAGCCAGTCGGTGGTCTCAGCCTTGTCACCAATCACTGCACAAATAACCCTCGTCACATTCAGTGTAGGTTGTCACTTAATTTGGCACGTGGCAGCTAATGAGGGGCTACGATTTTCAGTTTTCTCATCTATATCCTTTGCAGGGCATATACTGTCCATACGTGCTGCTGCCATAGTGTGACTGGATCTGAGGCCTGTTGAAGTGACTTCAGAAGTAGTTCTGTGATCTCATCTTTTGGGGGCCACAGTGACTCGGTAATGTGGCGCTGCTCACCTCGTGAGTTCCCGATCGAAACGCCGCCTTTTCGTGACATGGGCGCCATTAGCAAGAGAGGAGTATAATTTGTTGAAAGAAAAAATCTAAGTAATAGAGCAACAACAATAACGACTTAATTACTTTTATTATAACCCGTGAATATTTTAATGCATGCGCATAACTCTGAATGGTGCCATGAAAGTGAACGTTATTTAAGTAAACATTATTTTCTGGCGGAGGAGGCTACACGGGGTGAAGGTGCGTCGGTTTAAAGTGAAAAACGTGAATCGTGTGATTATTTTTTTTGGGTTTCCTCCCCCCCCCCCCTCTGGTACCGATTCGATCCGTGCCAAACCGACATCGCGCGTGCCGGAGAGCGGCGACGCTTGCTGCGCGCGCTACACTGCTCAGGAATGGGGGGGCGGGGGGGGGGGCGCTGATGCCTGTGTGAGGTGAGGCTCTGAGTTCCTGCACTGACCCCTCGAGGTGGAATAGTGGTGATGGTAGTGATGATGGCGAGGATGGTAGTAGGAGCGACGTTGTGATTTGTGACGGACGCACTTGTTGAGTTGTCCATCGGGGATCGATGTGGGGCTTGTGACAGAAGCATACGGGACCCAGCTTGCGTCTTGTTTATTTACGTACGTTCATAAACATGACGCACGTACGTACGTGCACACGTGACGTGCACACGTACGTACGCGCCGGCATGGGTTTTTGTTTTATTTATCATCGGTGACTCCCAGCTGTCGTTTTTTTGGAGTCGCCTTGGCACGACGTGGGGAGACAGCTCTTCCAGATGTCCTTCAGTCAAGAGAACATCGCTTCACATCGGGGAATTGCCCGAGAAGATGACATGACAGGACTAATTCCGAGTCGATTCACAAGGCCTCTCTCTCCCCCCCCCCCAACTCGCCAGTAAGAGGGAGCCATGAGTCATCACGCAAATTACTCCCGTGGATTTTCACTTTCCGGCTGTAGGGATAACGTTAGTGGGAAAGAAATTGCAAAAACAACATTCGTAGTCATCGCCAAGCTTCTGTTTATTTGGACAAATCTGGCGCGTGTATAAAATGTGAGGTGCGAACCGGTCAGAGCTTTACTTAAAATTAACTTGCAAAAACATTAAAACGCAGAGAACTTTTGGTATCTGTGTTAAAGCTTGTCTTGCTCCAACGCAATATTATGAAGCCGACCGATTGCGTATAGAAACACAAATGCTTTAAAATAAATAGACTTCTCTCGTTGGTTTCAATCGAAGGTGGAATTTAAAAAAGGAATATATTTCCACATTGTCAAAACCACAAGCCGATTGTGTTTTTTTTAATGACAAAAACACTTCACCAACCCCCTGGCTTCGTTGGCGTTCGAAGTCCGGTGACCGTGGGGGCTTCGGCGTAAACGACCGACTGGCGGGGCGTGCGGTGTGCCCCGCGCGCATTTCACGCGGCAGTGCGGTGTTTGTGGTCACCCACGGCGATGTGCCACTGCCGTCTGTGAAGCTTCACTTTGCTCTGTATCTGTCCAGCAAGGCGGCGCTGTGCTCCGAGCATTTGTCTAATCTTTGGAAGGTCTGGGGTTAACGTGACCCAACCATCATCACTTTTCTGGGGGGGGTCGATAAAATAGGAACTGCTTTATGGGAAGCCCGCAGGTGGTTAAATTGTATCTCCCTGCTCTAAGTGTTACCAGGTAGCGTCTTTGAGCCAGTGGTGGTAATTCCACATTTCCATGATGGGGGCCAAATTATTCCTAGGACCACCACTATGAAAGACCCCAGTGGAGACTCATGTATTGACCCTAAAGAGATGATGGACTTGTATGTCCTCTGAACCGTGCGTAAAGCCACCGTCTGCGTTCAGACTGTGGGTCAAAATCCTCTCACGGCTGTCGAGCTGGGCAGAGTGCGCCGCTGCAGGAACAGCACCGCCGCGAGACGGTGGTGCTGTGGGTACAGTAACTTGCCTCTGTCGCCAGTCTTGGCATTACAAAAATATTCCATTTCAGCCGCCCTAAGTTGGCACGGAGTCAATGGGCAGCAATCACACAGCCATACACCGATGTTTTGAAGCCGCGTTCATGAGTAACAAAATCTCCTTTAAAGTTGCCGGTTGGGCACTCTCTGGGACATCGCCGCCGCGTCGCTCCCGTGCCTGTGGACGCGTCGTTGCAATGCCGTCCCGAGTGTCGGACCAGGTGATGTTTAAACGTCTGTCGTTCAGTCAACGCTTCTTCACACTTGCGTTGGGGCGGCCTGGCGCGCCCAGCATTGGGTGGGCATCCATGGAATACCCAGCCGCACTGTTCCGAGTTGGTCGGGCTGGCTGCCTGCCAGCGGGAGGTGGCACGCTGGGACCACCGCCACTGCTGGGAGGGAGGTCGCAAGGGACCAAGAGCAGTGGCGGGGTTGACTATATTGTCAGTGGCGTGGTAACGACATTGTCAGTGGCGTAGTGACGATATTGTCAGTGGCATAGTGACGACATTGTCAGTGGCGTGGTAACGACATTGTCAGTGGCGTAGTAACTGGTGACGATATTGGCTGCTCAGGGGGTGCGGCAATCGGTGAGGTGGGGCCCCCCAATATTTGATTTGTCACGCACGGTCGCCAAACGTTACTGCTGTAATTAAATTAAAATTAAAACGTGGGACGTAAAAATAAATCATTTTCACTTTTAAAAAAGACATTAAAACCGCGTTTTAAATAAGTTTGTTATTTTACACTGTTGAAAACCTATCTCATGATGGTAGTATAGGGGGACCCAAACTCGTAGCTGTGGCCACCGGGGGATGGGGGGGCAAGGCGCCTCCTGGCTGCCCCCCGCGCTCGTTCCGCTGCTGGCCGAGAGGAGCGCGGGTTGCGTGGCGCGGTGGAGCGGCGGTCGTTTGGGACGAAACTAAAACAACTAGAAACCCCGTGAGCTTGTTGAGTGGCGAGCGCCACAGCCGTGCGACTTGATGTCAAAACGAACAAAAATGCATCGCCGTGTCTCGTCTGTAAAGTATTTAAGTGTACGTCGTGTGTTTATATTTTTTTTGTATGTAAAAAAAGAACAACAGAAAGATTACGTTATTTTGATACCTGACTAGTTTTGTCCATTTTGTGTTTCCATCTGTGACTCGCCTAATAAAGGTGCATTTCCATAAACACGTGAGGTTGTTTTGACTTAAACCTCAACAGGCGAGCCAGTCCATGAAGGATTGGTCTGGCCAGAGATGTCTGTGTGTGTCGTCCTCTCAATCTGAGCTCTCAAGCAGCAATGTCCACAACAAATCCATCTGTTCCAGGCTGTACGGGGCGTCTTTATTTTTTTACGTAGTTCTAAAACAAAATTCTTAAATGGGGACTCCTTTCTTCGAACACTTGGGCCGGTTTTAAACATTCCGCCCGACCTACTGAACATCCTGGGTTTAACCAGACTTGATTGTGTTGAGGGGCTCACGGATCCTTGAAAGATCTGGACACAATCCCATCGGTGAGCTCCTCCAGCAGGCTAGACTGCGTTGGCTGGGTCATGTAGCCCACATACCCAGCCACCGCATGCCCAAGCAGCTTCTGTTTGACCAGCTAGAGGGGGATAAACAGGAGCGGCACGGGCTAGATAAACTAATCTTTAGTTTATTTTTCCAGGTTAGGCCCACTCAGCTATATAGCTCTCTTTTCAGAAGGGGGCTGGCCACATGATAGCTCAACGAAGTGGCTTATCACTTGGCCATTATATTAGTCAAACACTTTAAACGAATGTTTCTAAATGTGGAGGACCCCGAGAAAAATCCACGCGACCAAGGGGAGAGAATATATACAGGCGTCAGGGTCGGGATCGAACCCACGATCCTTCTCCACACCAAACGAGTTGCGGGTTGATGTGGTCACGGAAGATTAGAGCCGAGTGGACTTGCCGATGACCGGCACCAGTGGTGTCAAGGTCGGCCTCTGTTAGCTTCGTCAAACCGTAGTGAAGACGATGGCGCATAGCAGGGCCACGGAGGTGTTCACTGACAAGTTGACAGCTGATGCTGGAGGCTCCCACGTTGAGAATGTGTTTACATCAATAAATAAAAGACCCAACGGCTCATTCCTCCACTTTAAAGTGTAACCATCAAGGGACCATGAAAGCGACATCTAAATTAATATAAGCACGTGCGGGATTGCCCCGGGAAGATTCGGCGTCTTCTGACGCGCCGTGCCAGGCGAGACCCATTGGAGGAGCCAGGGGATTGCTATGCCCACTCGAAGTCTCTCCAAGGAACACCTTGAGACATCGCTGGGGCTGGCCGTGTGGAATGTCCCGCTGAGTCCTGCTCTCCGCTTGGGAGGAGAGGCTGCCATTCTTGCGTCGGGAGCTGGACCGCTACTGCTTGGACGGGTTCGTGTTCCACTCGGTCCTCCTCTACTCGGGGTAGAATGGCATCGAACCACGGGGTATATGGACCTTTTCTTCTGAATACAATCATGTGGAAGGGCATGTTTCTACTGTGCTTGGTGAGATGTTCATGGGATGGGGAATATTGAACGTCCATAGGACGGAACGGAACGGAATGGAAATTAAAAAACTCACCGGATGAGACGAGACAAACAATTGTGGCGAGAGAGAAACCCAAATCATCACGGCATGCCTCGTGCCTCCCACTTCATGTGCATCGACTGCCCTCTACTGGTGGAAATGAGCCTTGGCGCTTACAAATCTCAAGATCTTACTGTAATGGGGACTTCACACAACTCCACGAGGTAACCCGTATCGTCCGCTTTGCACAATGTTGCGACATCGTTGCTTGTTTTATACATTAAAACTACATCTCGTTTTTTTTACAAATTTAAATCTGAAATAACCACAATTAACATCCATTCTCGCGGGACTCTTTTATATGCATTTAAGCACCAAATAAATGCAAGCCCTCGTGTATTGCCAGGCCTGCTGGCACTGGTCAGTGCTGGCAGCAGCAGCAGCAGTTTGCACTCTGGATAGTTCGTCATTGCCAAAGCGCTCACAAGCATCGAACCAGTTCAGTCGCAGCGCAGTGGAAGCAGTAACAATCGTGTCAACTCACCTATGCCGATCACACACTACCCTTGGTGGTGATTGAACAGACTCAATCATCGGACAACCATAGTCCCCAAGTGAGAAATGCAGTTTACCCACGGCAGGACTGGTACGCAACTAGAGTCCAGAACTGCAGTCTATAACTGTAGTCCACCCAATTCAGCTGAGTCGCGCTCGCGAGGCCTCCGCTTGATGCGGCCGCACACCATATCTCTCTCTCTGCCACTTTTTTTTTGAATGAACATCGAAACCAGCACTGGCCATTTGTTTCCAATATCGTAAAACACTGCCCTTCAAATCACATCAATTCAATGGCCTTACTCAAACAGTGACTGTTGAGAACCACGAGCACTCGTACACGAGCCAGTTTCCCAGACTGTAGATAAAATCTGTTTTAAAATGTCTTAAAACTGAGTATTAAGGCACGTCTTCTTTGTATGCACCGTCTCCCTTATCAACGGATAATTCAATGGGCTCCTGATTAATTTTGCAAAGTTCCACTACAATATCAATGCGAATGTGACGACTTAATGTTTAGTTGATGAACCAGACCAGTGGAAGGCGCCACGACTGCTGGCGAAGACCTTGTGACAGGGCTATTACCAGCTGAGAGACGCCATGGAGAGGCGGGAATTCACCATTGTCGAAGACATTCAAAGCATGCACTTTATTTCAGCCATTGAAGTGAGAGGCCATCGATTAAGGCGCGTACCATGAGATGTTTGTTGCAGTGTTGGAAACAACAAAAATCTATTTATATCACTACCCTACTCTGGGATTATGTACCACTTTGCTGCTCTGCAGATTGGGAGTTCACACAGCCTTCGGCAATGCCAGTTTCCTCCGAAGTGTTTTAATGGACGATACTGAGGACATGTCACAGTTCAGTGAGTGAAAATAATTTATTTCCATACAAAAGAAACATTTTACTGCTCGGCTTAATGTCAGCATCACCCAAAACAGCAGATTTCCACTCCAAATAAAAACAGAAAGGTAAAAATTATCGAGGGATTTTGTGCAACCCCCAGGTGAGAATGTAACAATTCACCTCCCATAAATTGGACTTTTTAAGATCGGGTATCGGCCAATAAAATGTCCCATGTTGGTGCTTGTAGAATCTACATATCAGTTGGCTGCAGGGTTTTAATGAACCAAATACATCAATCAGAAATAATTGACTTTACAAGCAGATTTTACACATTACTAGACTCGAATCAATGTATGTAGAACGCATTTCGCACCTTACGTCGCCAACCGTGCTAAATCGGAGGCAAATTGATACTTCCCTATACCCAACACCCCTACACCTTTAAATAGATGCCAACTGTTACCAGCAAATCACAAACTTTCCAGAAACTCTGGACAAGAGCCTCACATCTGGGTGGGGGAAAGACCCCAGAATGAGCTCTGATGTCATTTGAAAAAGCCCTGCCTTAACTAAAGCCACAACATTTCCATTTTTCAAGTTCAACACAGAAGCGATTTGCATGTTTTGCCATCCTCCAATATATGTACAACATACATGTACATAGACCCCTCTCTCAAACCTCGAGTATACCGAAGAGAAAACACATTTATACCAGTTTTTTTGTACAGTCGTGGAACCCAGGCTGAGATCAAACAACAGGAGAACAGTTTAAACTTTATCAGCACCTAAAGTTTAACCCAGGATCAACATTTGGTAGTGGTCAGCCCAACTAATGATATTAACATCACCATGGCCTCTACAGTATCGTGAAAAACATCACAATACATCGTGGCTTAAAAGGAAATTTCAAATAAAAGTAAAAATTACCTTTTGCGATTAATCTGGGGTGGAAAAAAAAACGTTACTTGTGGTATAAAGACCCCGACCAGTGTAACGCAACACAGCCTCTCACTTCACAGGCAAACTCGGCAAAAGATTTGCGGTGTAGAAATTCATTTCCACAAGGATGTCCACATTCCTTTACAGAGAAAAGTGCCCAAGAGTCAACACCGCAATAACATGTGCAAGTCAATGTTGAGCGCCGGCCACGATGACACAGAGTGAAGTGTGGTGGGGAGGGTTCTATTTGCGTCACAAGAAGCACCCCTCCCCCCAGCCCTCCCCCACAAGGAGGCCAGGTTCGAGTCCGGGTCTCGAGTAGAGGGCTGCTAGAGGTCGTTCCTGGCGACGTTGGGCGCGTATTTGGGCATGAGCTCGTTGATTTTGCGGATGAAATCGGACTTCTCCGCGCAGCCCTTGCACCCTTCTCCCCAGTCGTCAAGGATTCTCTTCAGATCTTTCACCTTCAGCTTCTTGAGATCAACGGTGCTGAGGTCAATCTGCTTCTCTGTAGGGGACGGGTCAACAGCAGCAACATTGTCAGGCTTTGTCCGAGCAGCAGAAGGGAAGGCGGCTGTTACAAGACACACACGCCGTTTAAATGTCCTTAAAATAATGAGGTTAATTGGGCAGTTTGTAGACTATCACCGATCGACGTCAATGCAAAACATCCATTTATACCAACAGCAAGTAGACCTTCAAAATCGTTATCGTTAAATCAGTCTTTATTTAGACAGGAGGAATCCGATGAGCTAAGAAACTTTATTTCACAGTTGGGGTGACACCACACTCGGTGGCGGCACCACAACGTCTCTAAATGCAACCCTTTCTCGCCTCCAGGTCTCCCAATATCTCGTTTGTCTTGCCTTCAGCTCCCCCCTCACCTCTCATCGACAACTCACGTACATCTCATTTAGCTCTCATCCAACTAATCCGTATGCGAGCCATAAGTCTCAGCAAACCACTCAGACACCCTTCAAGGTGCCAGATGTGGCCTGTGGGCTATGCCCTGCAGATACTTTGACTATTAGAACAAGGTGCTTCAATACAGTGAGTGTTTAGTCACACTATGCAGCTGGTTACAGCCCGTGGCACGGTGTATGCATGTGCTTTCGCACCGTACGAAGCCATCGGAGGTACGGTGGACGCGTGCGGTGCCCTACAGCGGTGCGAGAGTGGCACGCGTACCGTATTTGAGCTCGCAGATTTGGCCATCCTGCTTCTTCAGCTTCTCGCAGATCTTCGTGGCCGGCACGTGGAAACTCAGCGGCTTCGACACCTCGTTGGTGATCTTGGTGGCCGCGTCGCTCGTGGCTCCCAGGTAGTAGCACTGCAATCGACGCACACAAATAGGTTTCAGTTATTCAAGGAGGCTTCTACACCAGGCTCTACAATCGGCTAAAAATCGTAATTATTTTAAGGTATTGTTTGATTTGAAATGAAAGTTACATTGTAATTAAAATATCCAAGTCCTGGAAAGGTGGAACATCCACACAGCACCCTTTTAATCAGCACCGACTCCGGTCTAAGAGAATGGTCCTGGACCATGCCTTGATACCACAGCTTCCATTGTTACTCTTCATCGGTCTCTTGCCCAATACGAGATGATGCCCGTTTAGACCCCGCAGAGTGGTTAGCTGTACGAATCATGTTATTCAATCATGCAATCCAAATTTGAAATTGATATTTGTAGTCAATATTAATGAAGCTAAAGCCATCAAACCCAGTAATCCTGGGTGGCTACATCTGGATGCTTATACTTGGACAACTTAGGCCCTCACTCGTGCTGGTCCGGTACTCCGACCAGCCAACTGGCAACCAGCAAAGCAGGTTTGGGGATTTCACCGTGATCCACAAACCCCTCCCCCCCCCCCACCTTCAAGGCAACGCATTACAACAGCTGGGCACCACTGTGTCCCAATGTCGATCGCTCTTTAAAACAAAGTGAACACTCACGATGCAACTTGCATATTTTTGGTACATTAGCAGCAGGACGATCTTGAACATGAGCAATGAGAAATCAATAAGGCTTGTCCCAGCAAATATTTCAGTGTCACACTGGCCAATTAAAATTATATTTAGCTTGGGCATGACCCACACCCTGTCACACACCCAGGCAAACCCAAGAGGTAAATTCCAAGATTATTTCCGACTACCACATTGTAGCTAAAAGGAATCTAACAGTTGTAACCGGTGGCTTTCCCAACAAAACGCCCACAGCACAGAACCCACTGTGCGGAATCACTCACAAGGCGGTTTTCCTTGCCCTTGGCATCGCTGCAGGTCTTTATCAGCTCCTTTTCCACATTTTCTGCAGTGAAGTCTGCATTCTTTTCCTTTAAGGAGTTGTAGAACTTCTCGAGGAACGTAATGCACACTGTCAAAAACACAGCACAGGAAGACAAAACACAAGTGAACACGTTGCATCAGACCAGCGCTGGTGGGGCCCGGCACGAGAGCGCTGGTGCGGTGCCACCAGGATCCTGGGTGTGCATCGAGGGGCTCGGCCATGACCTGGGTACCCGCGGTCAAAATAGTGGTAACACGAGAGAGGGGACAGGCATCTCGCCTCCAGCCTGTCCATCTGAACTCAAATGGAGCACTTGCCGATTACAGGCTTGCCTTCAGCCACTGAATGGTCCTAGTTCCATATTTCCTTTCAGTTTTTACAGCCAAGAAAACAAAGCACCCATTTGCACAAACACTGTCAATTCGAAGTTGATGGTTATAAAAAAAATCCACGTGCATTTTAAAATTGCCAAAATCACTTGAAGAATACCGGCGCTAACATTCATAATGTGCTCTTGCCGACTCCGTGCAACTCACCAACGCCGTGACAAACACACGATCCATGTTCACACAGCAACGCATTGTGCGACTGTCAGTCTCATTAACCCCACCGAGCGACAGCGACATGATTCACGGCATTTGTTTTGGCAGCGTTTCTATCACAGACGGCCGCGTCAGAGGTCTCCCACGCGTGTCGGGTGACCACGAAGCCAGCCCACTGGCGGGCGAGCTAAATAAACGACCCCTCGGCACGCAGCAGCCTCACGTCGTGGCGAAGACTTCACCCAGCAGGTCACGGACGAAGGCGGTGTACGGAATGTTACTATCGAGTGTTGAGACACAGTCCAAGACGGACCCAGTCTCCTCGGGGTAACAACGCATTTGGCGATACCAAGAGTATGGATACCAATTACTTTACGCACAAACAACAACTCGGCACGTTGGGCAAATAACACCGTGCCCTTTAAAAAAGGAACAAAATTTAAATGGGCGACGCTTCGGGCAACGGCCCTTCTTCATAGCGCAGAACTCGAGCGGCCAAGAGAGGCGCAGGAGACCGGTGGGGGGGGGGGGGGACACGGGGGGGGGTGACACCGGAACAGCTGAGAGCCACGTGAGCTCGCGTCCCGCTGGGGGCAGTGGCGACCAATCACAGCCCTCGCTCGCGCTAGGCTCCTCCCCCTCGTCGACGCGCGCGCTGCACCGTGGCCCCAGCGGTGACGTCATGTGTGCGTGTGCGCACCGAGAGCCGAATGACGTCTGAGCGCTGCACGATCCTAGCAACATTGGCTCTTAAGTTTTACTACTACTGCTGCTGATGCTGCGCGCTTGTGCGTTTGCATCAAGGCCGTAATTATAATATATATTGGGGGGGGGGGGGGAGGGAGACATCCCCCCCAATATTGACTCCATGGCTACGGCCTTGTGTATTTGCATGTTGTATTTATACGGCGCAATCGCATTTCAAGATAGTGGACGGCCCATTGGGCTTCGTGACCATGGGAAGAGTAAAAACGGGAAAACCTTGAACCTGGGGGCCGAACAGGTGCCGAGAGGCCACAGGCCATGTTGGCAGAGTGGAGACGAATCACCTGCGATGGGCGCCACATCTCAGAGTAGGGTCCAAGGTCGAGATCACTCAATGCGCTGAACTTGGGGAGAAGCCACGAGACCTGGGTGGGCCAATTTCCCAACAGTTTGCCGGGTCACCAACATTTGCAAAAAAGTGTCGCACAGCAATGAAGCTAACAGACAGACCACAGGCATCAGCCATACATACAATCTGCACAAACATAAATCAACGTTAATTAAAACACATGTTAAGAGTGTGGATAGTTGTATGTATGGACGACCAGCGTGCACTGTCGGGCGTTCTCCAAGCTGCGGGGCCACGTTGCAGGCAGCAGAGGGGAGCCCGGCACGACCCATTGCTGTACTGCTCTTCTATGTCCCCACGTCGATGATGCCGGCCTCCACCGGCACGGCGAGGCATCGTCAAATAACCAACACAAGCGTCAGGAGGGCCTCGTCCAACATACAATGTTGTGCACTGCGACTGCGTATGTCACGCAGCTGTGTAATCGCTTTATGCAGTGTCCATGTAAACTATTACATGGGAAGGGTAAAGACGGGAACAGTGGTCAATGTCCGGGTGCTGAACTACGTCGGTGGGCCCGGACTTTAACCACCACGTCTGGAGCCCGAGGCGAACGGGGGAAATTCCACATTCCTATGGCACGAGTCGGGATGGCTCCGTGGTGGGAAGCGGGCGGCAGTGCAGCGACAGCCAAGCTCGATCTACCGCTCGATGAAGGCCGTCGAAATCCCAAAATCCTTCTATGCGGTAATCCACCTGGCTCCATGCACACGAGTCCATTCCCCACTGTTGTACTGCACTCGTATGCTCCCACGTACACGCTGCGGGCCTTCTGCGGGAAGTGTGGTCTCATAACCCCCACGACCTGCACGGCGGGCGGAGGCCTTCATCCAGCAGTGGATTATCACACCAGGGGCTCGAGATGATGTCACGAGTCGTACAACGCGGCGTGCTGCACACGCAACAGCAGCATCAGCAGCATCAGCAGTCTCTCCACTCTCATCTCTTCGGGGACAAGCAGCTGTCAACAGCCACGATCAACCCACTGCTGGACGAAGGCCTCTCCGCAATTCGTCGACAACGCACGAGCCGGTGGTGGAAATTACACATTAGTATGGTCGGTCAGGTCCGTCCGTTCATTCATTCATCCACAGGACCACGAACGGTGGCAAAACCCAACATCGTTAATGACGCCGCTGTGGGACGGGAATTCCCGTTAAGGTCGCGTCATCACCGCAGCCACAACGCTCACACTCACCACTCACTCACCCTCACCTCACTCACCACTCACTCACTCACCCTCACTCACCACTCACTCACCCTCACCTCACTCACCACTCACTCACTCACCCTCACTCACCCTCACTCACCACTCACTCACCACTCACCGCTCACTCACCACTCACTCACCCCACCCTCACCGCTCACTCACCCTCACCACTCACTCACCACTCACTCACCCCACCCTCACTCACCGCTTACACTCCCCACTCACTCACCTCACCACTCACTCACCCTCGCCGCTCACTCACCACCACTCACTCACCACTCCCTCACCCACTCACCCTCACCACTCACCCCACCCTCACTCACCTCTCCCTCACCTCACTCACCTCTCCCTCACCGCTCACACTCTCCACTCACTCACCCCACCCTCACCGCTCACTCACCCCACCCTCACCGCTCACTCACCCCTCACCGCTCACTCACCCCTCACCGCTCACTCACCCCTCACCGCTCACTCACCCCTCACCGCTCACTCACCCCTCACCGCTCACTCACCCCACCCTCACTCACCCCACCCTCACTCACCCCACCCTCACTCACCCCACCCTCACCGCTCACCCCACCCACACCGCTCACTCACCGTCGCACTCGCCCTCCTTGAGCGCCACGGCGGGCTCAATCGCCGTCGCCACCACCGCCGCCGCCACCACCAACGCCAGGAGCATCCCGCCCATGACGACCGCTTTGGCGAGAGGCTCGCTAGCGCACAAGTGGCCGCACAACACAACAACCACGGTCTCTAAGTGGTCGCACAACACAACCACCACCACTGTCTCTGTCTCTCTAAGACGTCGCCAACGAGCCCGGGGGGGGGGGGGGGAAGGCCTCTCAAGTCCCGCGGCACGCGAAGCGGCGGCCGCCTTCGACTCAGTGGCGGGGATGTGACGTCACTAGCAGCGCGCGCCCGACTGTGGCCGGGCCCCTCCCCCCACCCTCCCCTTATATAAGTGCCGAGTGACGTCACCGGCGCACGTGGCCGCACAAACAGCTGGCGCGCGCCCATTGGCCCGCGAGCGCCCGTGACGCGCGACGCGCGGGACCAATGGGAGCGAGACGCGTTCGGGGTTTACTCCACCCCCCCCCCCCCGGTGAAATCGATTCGCTTCCGAATGAAATCGATGTATGATGGACTCGACGATTCCTGCACTGGAGCTCGGCGATGTGTAGGAATCGATGCCGCGCGGTGCGCGTCGCAGACGAGGCGCTGCGGTGCCACGGCTCGGTCCAGTATCTCGCGAAGGCAGCAGAATAAGCACACATTTGCCATTTATTGTTGAAAATAAGACATTTTCTCATTCCTTTCTTTAACTTTTTTTTTACTGAAAACAATTCACGAGAATTTTACACTTTGTACAAGATATGTATTGAGTCTTATTCCTGCATAATTTGCAAGTAATGTACAGACGCGAAACATGAATTGCCCTTCGCCAACACTGCCAACTTGAAGAACGCAACATTGAACTCTCCAACACGAATTGCAGAGGCATCCAAGTGGGGACCTCTCAGCGCGCTGTTAGTCCGGCGTGTTGACTCCCTGTGAACACCGTCATGTTTGGAACAAGGCTTAGGAGAGGTCATGATGGCAATGGGGGCATGCGTTGGTTATGAATTGGCCCCTCTCCACGCTTTTCCCCCCACACCGCTTCCGGTAAGCCGGTCAAGCGGCAGGCGGCGAGGCAAAGTGTGGAGCAGTGGCACCTCCATCAGACTGCCCGGCCTGTCAGTCAACCTCCTTCAGACTGCCCGGCCTGTCAGTCAACCTCCATCAAACTGCCCGGCCTGTCAGTCAACGCCCTTCAGACTGCCCGGCCTGTCAGTCAACGCCCTTCAGACTGCCCGGCCTGTCAGTCAACGCCCTTCAGACTGCCCGGCCTGTCAGTCAACCTCCATCAGACTGCCCGGCCTGTCAGTCAGCCTCCTTGTTGCTGTGGATGGGGAATGGCTGACGGTGACGAGAGCAATATCAAACCACGGAAACGATCACCGCACGCGATTGAGCATAGATGTCAACCTTAGTGGTCACCCCGTGGCCCTTATACATCTCAACGTTCATCCTACAAAGTCCCATCACAAGGGAGAAACACGAACAGACAAACACATTTTTGTTGTTGCCCGTATTGAAACGGCTGTACGCCGTATGGACCTGAAAACTCAATTTCCCTGTACAGGAATACGGGTAAACAATCGTATGGGTTGAGAGGTATGCGATCGTGTTAGCAACGTGACGCTCTTTTACCCAGCTGTAAATTTCTGGCAATAATCAATGCATGCTCTGCTTCCTTGACTTGTTCCAAACAGGTTGTTCGTGCGTAGAAGATCTGTCCACGATGGGCACGCTCGTGCGAAAATCGGGTCGGAGTTGAGCGGTCAGTGGTCTGCACGCGTCCTCGCGCTGACCTGGGGAAGACGTTGTGGTGCGTGCGCGGCGAAAACCCGCGACAAAATAACAACTATGCATAAAACGCAAGTGTGGCCATCGACCTGTCACTGGCACCGAGGCCACTGCAATAAGTTACCGAATATAAACGCCGTCCGTCGGCAGCATTCACGTTGTCCTTTAAGCCCATGCCTCCGTTTCGCCGCGAGACTCGACACAAGCAAGGGAACCGCTGGATCCGATTCCACGGCAGTTTTCAACAGGAGCCCCGGGGGCTCGTCAGCATGGCTTGTTTTCCAAAGGGCCTTGAAGTGCGTGGTCTGGAACAAAGCCCTCCTCGTAGAAGGGGCCTTCGCGCGCGCCTGCTGGGCTCAACGCGGGGCCGTGCTCCGTGCGAGTCACTCCTCCTCCTCTGCCTCCCTCTCGCTGCCGTGCTCGGGGCTGTTGAGGGCTGAGCCCGTGATGTTTGAGGCGTCGGACTGTGTTTGCAGGATGGGGTCTGCAGAGAAGACGACGGCTGGGTTAACAATCGGAAATGTTTACTTCAATCAATTAAAACGTTTTATATAGAACAATGGAAGGCAAAGTCTATTTCATCTGGGAATGATGGTACATGGCCGATGGCACACGCGGATGACCAGGACGCAGCATTGGTGGATGCCATAAGACTAAACACATATTCACCACGTGCTAATTTCACTCTAATACGTCTTTGATTGTGCACTCTCATGCCCCCTGTAAAGAGTTTTTTTGCCATCAGGAAATCTAACCGTAATTGTTTTTTCTCGGGATTGGATTAAGTGAAATAACAATGTCTTTTTTCTTGTTATGCAGTCATTAGTGAGTGAACCCAGCGGTGGTTAGTGGGTGCGGTGGTGGTCGGTGTGGATGCAGTGGTGGTGGTCACCGTGCAGCGTGGTGAGTGGCAGCACGGAGACATCGTCGAGGTCGTCCCCGGCAGGAGGGAAGGGTGGCGACCCTCCCGCTATCACCGCCATCATGGCCGTCTCCATGGAGCCGTCGTGCACCGGGTCCCCATCTGGGCAGCTCAACTCCTTAGGGTGACAGGCACACACGCGCACACACAGTCGATATGTATGCATCGCCTCCTGTACAGGCTGTTAGGCCAAGTATTGTTAAAGAAAGCTCTCATCTCCTGTGCCTCGGGTTCGACGGTGACGTTGACAATCGTCAGGTGCTCTGCTGGGTCTTCACGAGGCTCCGCAACCCGACTGGAGAGACGCCGCTTGCCGTGTTGAATGCAGAGAGCAACGCGCCCGGTTGGACCGATTTGGGTGAAACCGGTGTGTTGTTCTTTGGCGCCGCATGTCCGACTATTCACCGTTGATTTTAAAAGTCTATCGAAACCAGAGGTCTCTTCTCTAACTTTGATGACCTTTCTGGCAGAGCATGGGACTGAATGGCCACACGTAGCAGAGAGCGCTGCACCACGGGATCACCGCATGGTCCCTGCCCCGGGCGCTGGGGCTCGCTGCCACTGCTTCCGCCGATGGTGCCCGGAACTCGACGCACCTGACTGACGAACTCGGCCGCGTCTGCGATGAGCGTCGCTCGTTCATCCTCGTCGTCGTGCAGGCCGGCCTCGCGGCCCGCCCCCACCGCCTGCATTGCCGTCTCCACCGCCTCCTTCTCTCCGTCGTCGCTGCCCGTGCCGAGGGCTTCCTCCACCAAGAGTGGGAGCTCGCGGTCGCCGGGGGACGACAGGTGCCCCGGGCAGATGACATCGACTTCATCGGTGACGGCGGCGGCGACGATGCCGGTGGGAGGCGACGCGAGGGGGTGCGGCATGAGGTCTGTGTCGCCGGGAGCCGTTGGGTAGATGGTGCGGACGTCGGTGTGGACACCGTCGGGTGACATCGCGTGGATGATGACGCGAGAGCCGTGCGGCATCTCGACAGCAGAGCTGCGACCATCCTGCAACTGCAGCAGCAGCAGTAACAGGAGGTGGGTAAATAGCAGAATCAGAATATTTAATTATACTGGAGGAATCCGATGAGCTATAAAGCTCTTTTTAACTTCTATTATGGATCTTTTTATATTTTTCACAGAGGTCCAGTAGGGGCAGGTCAAAAAGTTAAAAACAAACAATACCAAACGCGATAGGAGTGCAACGTATAGGAGAGGTAAGCAGTGAGAGCGGCAGCATCGTCACTCTCAACATTTCCCTTCCGCGAAAGTTCTCGAGTCGAACTGCCTCCCTGCTCACACAGGTGCAGAGCGTTGCCCATCTCCTGTTCAGTCGCGAGTGAGTTGTATTTCCATGGCATCTCATGACGCTATTCCAAATGTACTCGGCCATGTCACGGTCAAAATACGAAAGTATGAATATGCACCTGCAAGTTACTCCATTGGGCGAAGCGCAGTGATCGCCGCCACTTGCTGTGAAACCACTGGAGGCCGTGTCTGTGCAAAACTGCAACCTTCTTGCACGAGAGCCTCGCGCTCTAACAACGGCGCGAATATCAAATGCACTCGCAATTAGATTTTTTCTGCCGAACAAAACAACCAGATAGATGTCGTCGTTATAGGCATCTCTTTTTAAACGCAATCGCGTTTACGGGTGCGGCCGACGAACCTGGAGCTGGCGATCGCCGTCCCGCAGCTGCACGGCGTGCATCACGACCTGCCCCTCCTCGGGGATGCCGGCGGCGGCGGCGGAAGACGGCGGCGGCGACACCGCGGGGGCAGGGGGGCCGCCGGTGGGGACGAGCGTCACCGCCGGGCCCCCGCCGCTCAGCGTGACGGGAAGGCCCGGGGCGGAGCCCGCCTGCAGCAGGAACGTGCACAGGGCGCCCGTCGCCTGCAGGTGGAACGACTGCAACACGCGAGGCGGAGGAGATCGATAACGGTTCGCCGGTCGGGCCCCGCGGACTGCAGGGACCCACGCCGTGCAAGATCGAGCCGTCACCGTGGTGACGGGCGTCGACTGCACCACGCCTCGCCAATGCTTGCCACCTCCACGCTCCGCCCTCTAATGGTATCCTACCATCCGGTCTTAGATCTTCCCCTTGGTCGCCACATTTGGCAGTCTATCCTCATCTATGCTGCATAAAATAGCCAGGCAGGTGCTTTGTTTTTGTGCGGCTAATAGTAAGGCCCAACCCTGAGCAGCATGCTCTAGGTTTGGTACTGGCTCCTTCTCAGGGTGGGCAGCAATTAGCAGATCATCTCCATACATAACATGGTTGACCAATACAGAGCCATCCCTTGTACCAGACGGAAATTCCACAGGTACATTAATGCAAAGCTTCTCGAACTACATGGTTAAAGATGTTAAATAGTGATGGGGCCAAAGGACATCCCTTTCGCACCCCAAGATGAACAGAAAATAGCTCCGACTCCCGGCCACGCAGATTTACCCGAGCCTGCCCACCATCATGAAGGTCCGTTCTGATTGTGAGCAGGGGGTCAGGAACTTCACAAGCACGAAGAATAATCCAGAGCCCTGGCCGAGTGATGGTATAGTCGGCTGTGAGCATGTCAATAATGCAGAGATGGAGGTCCATAAAAAAGACCCCCCCCCGCCGTATGGCTTGAACAGACTGTTAGGAAAAGTGCTGTTAGCAAGTACCTATGAAAACCGGCACGGCACACAAGGGGATGGGTGGCCAGCACCATACCCTGCCGCCTTTGTCTCCCTAGCGGCGAGGTTTACACACCTCACCAGGTATTAATTTGAGGCTGAGTCAACCTAGGGGAGGCCCAGGACCGGTTCAGATAACCGTCACTGGTGTTGGCCGTGAGCAGGAATCTAACTCGGGTCGCCAAGTTTGTAGCGCAGCGCACTAACTGCTACACTACCACTCCTCACACACAAGTCCATACACAAGTCCATACACACACACACATGCCAGTCTTTACTGAGTTCCATGTCTGTACAACCAAGACTAAAGCAGCCGAGCACTCACCGGTAAGATTTCAAACGTCTGCAGAGCGGCTGCGTTAATTGTAACAGTTTCTCCATCGCCAGAATCACCTGGACCAAAGCAAGACGGTGAATTGAGAGTGACGGGGGCATTGCGAAAGTTACCCATGATACCACAACTGACCCGGGCTGCATGTGTGTTTAAGGCTGTAAAGATGAGTTTGAATGTTTGTTCGTGACGAAAAACACGTAAAGCAAAATCGTGCACACGCACGGCGTACATGTATAACATGGCCCAACACGTGTGTGTGTTTGTCTTTGGAAGTGGAGGCGAGCCCCGGGGAGCCCCGCGTACCCGTCTGCGTGATCTGCACGGGGATCTGCAGCGTGGCGATGGTGGTCTGGGGCAGCAGGGCGCTGCCCTCTCCGCGGGGCAGGCGCAGGCAGACGGGGGCAGTGGGGGCCCCGGGGGAGCCTGCGGGGGCCCCCGTGGGGTGGACGCGCTGCACCACCTGACGCAGCACGGGGATGTGCGTCTGGCTCAGGTAGTCGAGGAGGTCTGAGGGAGGGAGGGAGGGATTAATGTATTGTTGTTAGGGAGGGATTAATGTATTGTTGTTTCTACAACTATGACGCTTGTTTATACAGGAAATCCTCACCCAGTCTCATGACTCTCTTCAGGAAGTTCCCTGCCAAGTTTTCACAGTAAATCCAAATTGAGTAATTTCTTTCAATATTTCCAAATCTGGACTGTGGGATCATGATACATGCAGCAAATCGTGGGTGTAAAGTTCTAAAACAATTTTTTTTAAGTTCTGTCTTTTAAACCCATCTGTTTTATAATATTTATTTTATATGATCTGGTTAATCCTTTATTTCTATGTTTTAGATGCTTCATTAGAAGTTTTGATTATTTTATTTTAGTCCAAGGCTGACTATGATGCTTGCGATTTCCCCCTGTGCTGCTTGCGATCTTTTTATAAAAGCTCAGCACTGTTTATTTATTCACCCATTTCATAATATGTATATATACACACACACATCTTTAATGTTTAATTACTTTACAATTTGACTTAAACCATTTCATTTTCTGTAGCGCGAGAGAGCCGGCTGCATATGTTGAACCGTGCAAACGCAACGTATATGTGTATGTACGTGTGTGTATGTATGTAGTGTATGTATGTAGTGTATGTATGTAGTAGGTGCTCGCTAACAGCACTTGCCCCTACAGTATGTTAAGGATATACGGGGGATCTTTGTCTTTATCTTTGTATATATGTAGTGTCATGTAGTGTAGCGGTTATCGCGCTGCACTACGAACCCTGGGGAGACAAAAGTGGCCGGGCATGGTGTTGGCCATCCATCTCCTCGTGTGCCGTTCCGGCCTTCATAGGTGCTTGCTTAAAGCGCTTCCCCCAACAGTCTATTAAAGGCTACACGGGGGGGTCTTTGTATATCTGTACGAATGTTGAAATTGTTTCGCACCGTACGTAGCCAACCGTGCTAAACGGAGGTGCAGGAGCCAATCGGACACACAACAACGCGTAATGCGCCCCCGTGCCCCGTCTCACCGAGGAAGGGCACCTCCTTGTGAGTCGTCACCTGCCGCTTGACCGTCCACCACTTGCTGCGCAGCCACTGTGGCGAGCGCACGCTGTTCCAGCCGTCGCACAGCTTCTCCCAGTTGATCTCGCTCTCCTCCCGCGGCTTCAGCTCCACGATGCTGCACGACGCAACGCGGGCGCCCGCCGCACGGAATCAGACTCGTCATTGAGACCGCGGGAGAAATCCCATGAGCTTCTGAAGCTCTTTGTCAGACGTCCGGTCGGCGAGTTACAACAACAAACAATAAAAAAAACCATCAGAGTGCAAAGTATAAGATAGGAAAGAAAATCACTGCGAATAAATACGTTAAATAGATCAAGTATATACGTTCAAATTTCATAAGTACACCAATTCCCAAGCCAGCAAATAACAATAGCAAGAACAGTCGCAGACCACACCAAGACAACATAGTCACTCAATTAAACTATCAATACATGGGTAAGGAGTAAAGTTACAAATCACATTTGCAAATGTGACTGCTGTATCCAGCACTAATCTCCTGCTTCAGGACATTTTTTGAAGGAAGATTTACGATGTTAAGGGAGGACACAGGGTTGTTCCAAAACGTTGGTGCTGCAACGGCAAAGGCTTTGTCACCTAATCCTATTCTCGTTCTTGGAATAGTTAAAAGGAAATTAAATGGATATCTCATTGAGATATCCCTCCCGCTTCCTTCCCGCTTCCCTCCCGCTTCCCTCCCGCTTCCCTCCCGCTTCCCTCCCGCTTCCCTCCCGCTTCCCTCCCGCTTCCCTCCCGCTTCCCTCCGACGTTCCGCCATTCCCCGCGTGCGCACCGCAGGATGAGCTCGATGTCGTCGTCCTTGGTCCACTCGCGCCCGCCACTCTGCTTCCAGTTGAGGTAGTTGAGCCACTTGGAGCGGCACTGCTTCTCGGAGCGAGTGCCCACGCGCTCCGCCACGTCGGCCCAGCAGACGCCCTGCGTCACCGCCTCCCCGGGCGTCGTGCCCGTCAGCTCGTGCACCACGTCCGCCAGACGCTGCTCCTCCTCCACCGTCCACTTCCCTGCGGCGCACGCGCACGGGGGCGAGGCGTGGACGACGGGAACGCCGCGTGCGTACGTTAGTGCCGCACGGCTCTCCCGCGTGGCCGAGTCGTACCGCACGCTGTTCGGCACGACGTCCGACGTTTCGCTCCGCGTGCCGAGAGCTTCTTAATTAATTACGGTCTTTTATCAATCCGCTGCTGGATGAAGGCCTCTCTACGGAGGGTCGTTTCGCCGTACGCCGCGACGCCGGTTGTTGCGGCTTGATAAAGCGGGAGAGCCCAGGACCAGTTCTCCGATGTCCCTCACCACTGATGCTCGCCGTGGCTGGGAAAATGAACTCGGCTCACTGGACTTGCGGTGCAGTGCTCCGACCGCTGCATTGACCACCAAGCCCCCTTCAGTTCCCGACTACATTCTCCGAAGAAGCCGCCAGCACTCGGGAGCGAAGCGTCACACGTCACGCCAAATGACACACGGTACGACACAAGCACACATCATGGAGCTATGGGGATGGAAGCGTTTGGCAATGGGCGGTGCCAACGGCGCGTCTACTTAAGTCCTGGGAAGTACAAATCCTCTACGCGTTGAATCCAGGCCGTGGTCACCACAGGGCGATTAAACATTTGTTGATTAAAATAGATTCTTACTTTTGCAATACATAGTCAACCCTTAATAATCGCAGGCTTTATCATTATGTATTTTGCTGTTTAAGTTCGCGGGTTTGCATTTTAAATATTCGCGGCTGTAGCTCCCTACTACCCAACAAGTCGTCGCATTTCCCGCTCCCCGCGCTAATATTAAGGGTTCACTCTCCGTAAGCTCGTGCGCGTACACTGTGCCCCTGGACGCAGCGAGCTGGTCACCTGTGTTGCAGGTGTCCTTCATGAGCCGGCAGCGATCTTTGACGGAAGACGCACTCCGGCCCAGAGCTGAGCCAATGGCCGCCCAGTCATTCCTATGCTTGGCCCGAAGCCTGGGTTAAGGTTAGGGTTAGAGTTGGAGATTGTGTTAGCTGTAAGAGTGACGTTGAGAGTTTGGGTTAGGTTGAGGGTTAGGTGTTAGGGCTAGGTTTAATTCTAGAGTAGGTGTTTAGCTGATTCTCAGTCATAAAAACAGCACTCGATGAAACCTAAAGCGGGCCGCGAGCCTGAAGCCCAACCCAGCCCCTACCCTCAGCCAGGCGCATCCCCGAGCCTCCGCTAGGCCCTGATGCATAATCCCAGATCCTCTGGACTGGCACTTCTGTTGGTCCCGAGACGTCGTCTCAGGAGCACCCGGGGGTCCGTGCCGTCTCAGCGGATGGCGACGAGACCACGGAGCTGCCTCCCGGCTGGGATGCGGCTCTCTCGAGGAAGCGACGCAAGGGCTCTCTTCTATTCACCCGCGCTCTCGCTTAAAGGGTTTCTTGTCAGAATCCTTGTTTTATCACTGCTGGTCTAACCCCAGATATAGACTCTCAGTCAGTGATTTTGACGTAATGCATAAAAGGTTGTGTATAATACTGCATTTTAAAAGCTTATGAAAAACTAAAATATACTTACTCTTTCAGTTGTTCAATTTCCTCTGTTGTGTATCTGTAAGAGCACATACGAAGTTGAGATTGATCTTAAACATTAGAGGCAATAAACAAGCAGTATTAAAACGTTGCAGTTGTTCAGATTTCTCAGCATCAGGGGCACTGACCACAATTCTTGAATGGCTTACGATATGAAAAGACGCTTCTGAAAGTGCTCAGCAAGCAAACGGACACAGCAAAGTGACCGTGGCCCAGGCGCTGGAGAGGAGTACCCCCCATTGAACCAGAATCATCAGAATATTTATATATACTGGAGGAATCCGATGAGCTATAAAGTTCTTATTCACAGATGTCCAGTAGTTGGAGGGCCCGTGCCCACCGCGCCACGCCGCTGCGTGACTGCGTGCGGACGGGCGAGCCACTCACTTTCCGACGTGGTTGCGGTTGTCGTACATGCGCAGCACGCGGCGGTACACGGCGAACAGCGGGCGGTTGAGCCCTCGCGCGATCGTGCGGTAGAAGTCCTTGCGCTCATCCTTGGGCATCTCGAATATGACCTCCGCCGCGTTGCCGATGCTGTTGGCCTGCACGCGCGGGAGGGGGCACAGAGGCAGCGACTCGGCGGCGTGTAGCGCCGCCATCGGCGCTCCCGCTGCCAGGCTGGCGGACCGCACAGAGACGGAGAAATGCGGCGGCACTTCCAGTCCGTCGGGACGACATGCGGCCAGGAGACGTCGTCCCCTGGTGCGCGTGACTTCACCACGCGCGCCGGTTTGCTTCCTCGCCAAGTAACATTCACTAAAGGAACCGGCCAAAGCCTCCAGTCACACGAAACGATTTTGGAAACTCGGTGACATTTTTTCTGAATGCATAAAGGGATCCTTTGCTTTCAGCATCCAGAGACTAACGGTGCATTCACCACTCCAAGCGATTGTCACGTCCCATACGTTACCGGCAATTTGTACACCGTGGATCGCGTGGCGAGTGGGGATTGCTTCAGGGCCCATGGCTCCGCTCCCTGTGCTCAACCCTAACAATAATTGGCTGAGGCTTCACGTGACATTTACTCAACGTTCTGATCTCCAGCGACATCACTCGAGGCCAAAGTGTCCATTGTGTTACATTGCATGCGTTACATCGGGCTGTAACAAACGCATCGATTCAACAATTAAAGTAAATTCATACATTCTTTAACATAGGCACATGTTGATTGTATTGGATTCACACGATCCCTCGAGCCACACCACCAAATCGTGACCCTTAATTCGTGACGATTCACTGAACGTCTGGGAGGGGGAATCGTTCGACACCGACTGGGGAAGCTGGCGCCGCTGCACTCACGAGACGAACATTGCGGACGGTGGCGTTACCTTCAGGTAGCTCTCGATGTTAATGATTAGGAGATCGGTCTCTTCTTTTGACCACATGCCCTGCTTCCACTTGTGACCTGCATGGCCAAGCAGTGGATAGCAAGTGGACCGCAGGTCAGAGGCGGGTTGACCCCGTGGAACGCGGTCAACCCTCGCACACATTTGGCAGTCCACAACGCGGCACAATCGGAGTTTTGTGACAAAAATCACGCTGCCTCAGTTTCTCGGGATGAAACAGATCTCTGGCCATTAATTGTATTACTACAAATCTGCATAGAGGCTTTACAGCCTTCTCTCGTGCTGTGATGGACGTAATGCTAAGCTTGTATATAACAAGACAATAATTTACTCACTCACAAACACTGGCATGTGAGGCTTAATGCGTTTTTGTAAAGGCTGTCGACCGAAATATAGTGCAATGTTTGATATACAAATAAAACTGAGCAAGTAATGTGTGTGTATATGAATAGAAAGCACACGTGTTCATACATGTGTCGTGTATATGTGTGTGTTGCACCTTTGATGTAGAGTGAGTCCTTGTCCTCCTTGGTTGTGAACCAGGTCTGGCTCACAGGGTCAGCCCCAGTTGGCTGCAACATCAGCGCAGGAGAGGAGACAACGCTTAGGACATGAACCGAGCACGTGTGCGTGTGTGTGCGTGTTTGTGTGCGTGTTTGTGTGTGCGTGTTTGTGTGTGCGTGTGTGCGTGTGTGCGTGCGTGTTTGTGTGCATGTGTGCGTGTTTGTGTGTGCGTGTTTGTGTGTGCGTGTGTGCGTGCGTGTTTGTGTGTGCGTGTGTGCGTGCGTGTGTGTGCTGTGACTGATGAGCCCTGCAGCTGTTACTTTATTTATTTTGCTTAACCAGGTGTGAGCTCAAGAGACCAGGATAGAGTCTCGTTTGCAAGACTGACCTCATTATTTACGAGTGAACTTTTCTTGTGATGGCAGCCAATGATGAATCACATTGAAATGCGTGGCACAGTCTGAACCAGCGCAGGCGCCATTTGGTGAAATTATCAATAAAACTGAACTGGCTTCATTTATTGATTCTATGACTTTTAGAATCGGTAATCAATTCTGAATCAAATTATCAAAACAACCGATGGTCGATGAAAAACTCGACTGCGGGGACGCTACCGTTGCTGGTTTGCGTCTCCCTTTAACGAGATGGGGTGAGGGGCGAGTGGTGAGGGGTGAGGGGCGAGTGTTGTGGGGCGAGTGGTGAGGGGCGAGAGATGAGGGGCGAGTGGTGAGGGGCGAGTGGTGAGGGGCGAGAGGTGAGGGGCGAGTGGTGAGGGGCGAGTGCTGAGGGGCGAGTGTTGAGGGGCGAGTGGTGAGGGGTGAGTGCTGAGGGGCGAGTGGTGAGGGGTGAGTGCTGAGGGGCGAGTGGGAGGGGCGAGTGGTGAGGGGCGAGTGTGAGGGGCGAGTGGTGAGGGGCAAGTGCTGAGGGGCGAGTGCTGAGGGGCGAGTGGGAGGGGCGAGTGTGAGGGGCGAGTGCTGAGGGGCGAGTGGGAGGGGCGAGTGTGAGGGGCGAGTGCTGAGGGGCGAGTGCTGAGGGGCAAGTGGGAGGGGCGAGTGGTGAGGGGCGAGTGGTTAGGGGCGAGTGCGAGGGGTCGTACCTCGATGCTTAGGCCGTCCATGTCCGCGAGGCTGCCCACGCTCGCGGCGTTCCCTGTGGGCGAGTGGGCCGCGCTGCTCGCTGCCAAGTCGGACCCGGGGGGCGCCGCCATGACAAAGTTGCCCGTGCCTCCTGTGGCGCCCACACAAGAGAGAGAGAGAGGCCGAGACGACCTCGCGTGTGAAGCCCACACCCCGTGGTCAGTCGCTTCGTCCCGGGGCTGCTGCCTCGTTGCTCTGATTTTAGCGCCACGTTCAGTCCCACAAGTGCCACCTGGACACCTCGCATGTAGCGTGTTAAGAGCAAGAACTCTACAAATGCATCACTAAAACATTGGTATAACACGTAGGCTTTCGTGACCAATATCATCCATAAGAGGTTTTTTGGGGTTAGATCGCGTAAATATATAAATGTGTCATTAAAATCCGCCACCACCCGACACAGCCAACTAGTAAGGTTTGTCACCTAAAAATGACATGCCGATTCATTGCTAGTGTAGAGATGTACGCAGTGCGCGCAGTTGAGCAGGTGCGATCGAGGACGAGCAGCTGTGCGCGCTGGGGCAAGACGGGAGATGGGGGCGATGATGAGGGATTAGTGAGTGCGAGAGGAGCCGTGGAGGCGACAGCTGAAGTGGGGAGCACGTGAGGACTCGGAATGAGGCGGGGTATATCAGCGGGAGTGTGCGTGAGCAGAGAGAGTTGTTCGGGGACCAAGAGAGAAGACTTCTCGCCGCTCGAGCCGTCAACGGGACCTCGCAGCTCGCGCCGTCGCCGGGCGTGGGGCGTTGGCTGAACCCCCGGCCCGGGACAGACGGGCGAGTGGGTATGGGGCAGCGGAGAGATAGCAGAGAGTAGGTGAGGTGCAGAGTGGGTGAGGTGCAGAGTGGGTGAGGTGCAGAGTGGGTGAGGTGCAGAGTGGGTGAGGTGCAGAGTGGGTGAGGTGCAGAGTGGGTGAGGTGCAGAGTGGGTGAGGTGCAGAGTGGGTGAGGTGCAGAGTGGGTGAGGTGCAGAGTGGGTGAGGTGCAGAGTGGGTGAGGTGAGAGTAGGTGAGGTGCAGAGTGGGTGAGGTGCAGAGTGGTGAGGTGCAGAGTGGGTGAGGTGCAGAGTGGTGAGGTGAGAGTGGGTGAGGTGAGGAGTAGGTGAGGTGCAGAGTGGTGAGGTGAGAGTGGGTGAGGTGCAGAGTGGGTGAGGTGCAGAGTGGTGAGGTGCAGAGTGGGTGAGGTGCAGAGTGGGTGAGGTGCAGAGTGGGTGAGGTACAGAGTGGGTGAGGTGAGAGTGGGTGAGGTGCGGAGTAGGTGAGGTGCAGAGTAGGTGAGGTGCGGAGTGGGTGAGGTGCAGAGTGGGTGAAGTGCAGAGTGGGTGAGGTGCGGAGTGGGTGAGGTGCAGAGTAGGTGAGGTGCAGAGTAGGTGAGGTGCAGAGTAGGTGAGGTGAGGAGTGGGTGAGGTGCAGAGTGGGTGAGGTGCAGAGTGGGTGAGGAGTGGGTGAGGTGCAGAGTGGGTGAGGTGCAGAGTGGGTGAGGTGCGGAGTAGGTGAGGAGTGGGTGAGATGCAGAGTAGGTGAGGTGCAGAGTGGGTGAGGTGAGAGTGGGTGAGGTGCAGAGTGGGTGAGGTGCGGAGTGGGTGAGGTGAGAGTAGGTGAGGTGCAGAGTAGGTGAGGTGAGGAGTGGGTGAGGTGAGAGTAGGTGAGGTGAGGAGTGGTGAGGTGCAGAGTGGGTGAGGTGCAGAGTGGTGAGGTGCAGAGTAGGTGAGGTGCAGAGTGGGTGAGGTGAGAGTAGGTGAGGTGCAGAGTGGGTGAGGTGCAGAGTGGGTGAGGTGCAGAGTGGGTGAGGTGCAGAGTGGGTGAGGTGAGAGTAGGTGAGGTGAGGAGTGGGTGAGGTGCGGAGTGGGTGAGGTGCAGAGTGGGTGAGGTGCAGAGTGGGTGAGGTGAGAGTAGGTGAGGTGAGGAGTGGGTGAGGTGCAGAGTGGGTGAGGTGCAGAGTGGGTGAGGTGAGAGTAGGTGAGGTGAGGAGTGGGTGAGGTGCAGAGTGGGTGAGGTGAGGAGTGGGTGAGGTGCAGAGTGGGTGAGGTGCAGAGTAGGTGAGGTGCGGAGTGGGTGAGGTGCAGAGTGGGTGAGGTGCGGAGTGGGTGAGGTGCGGAGTGGGTGAGGTGCAGAGTGGGTGAGGTGCGGAGTGGGTGAGGTGCGGAGTGGGTGAGGTGCAGAGTAGGTGAGGTGCAGAGTGGGTGAGGTGCAGAGTGGGTGAGGTGCAGAGTAGGTGAGGTGCAGAGTGGGTGAGGTGCAGAGTGGGTGAGGTGCAGAGTGGGTGAGGTGCAGAGTGGGTGAGGTGCGGAGTGGGTGAGGTGCAGAGTGGGTGAGGTGCGGAGTGGGTGAGGTGCAGAGTGGGTGAGGTGCAGAGTAGGTGAGGTGCAGAGTGGGTGAGGTGCAGAGTGGGTGAGGTGCAGAGTAGGTGAGGTGCAGAGTGGGTGAGGTGCGGAGTGGGTGAGGTGCAGAGTGGGTGAGGTGCAGAGTGGGTGAGGTGCAGAGTGATGAGGAGTGGTGAGGTGCGGAGTGGGTGAGGTGAGAGTAGGTGAGGTGCGGAGTGGGTGAGGTGCGGAGTGGTGAGGTGCAGAATGGGTGAGGTGAGAGTAGGTGAGGTGCGGAGTGGGTGAGGTGCGGAGTGGGTGAGGTGCAGAGTGGGTGAGGTGCAGAGTAGGTGAGGTGCAGAGTGGGTGAGGTGCGGAGTGGGTGAGGTGCAGAGTGGTGAGGTGAGAGTGGGTGAGGTGCAGAGTGGGTGAGGTGCGGAGTAGGTGAGGTGCAGAGTGGGTGAGGTGCAGAGTGGGTGAGGTGCAGAGTGGGTGAGGTGCGGAGTGGGTGAGGTGCGGAGTAGGTGAGGAGTGGGTGAGGTGCGGAGTGGGTGAGGTGCGGAGTGGGTGAGGAGTGGGTGAGATGCAGAGTGGGTGAGGTGCAGAGTGGGTGAGGTGCAGAGTGGGTGAGGTGCGGAGTAGGTGAGGAGTGGGTGAGGTGCAGAGTGGGTGAGGTGCAGAGTGGGTGAGATGCAGAGTAGGTGAGGTGCAGAGTGGGTGAGGTGAGAGTAGGTGAGGTGCAGAGTAGGTGAGGTGAGGAGTGGGTGAGGTGAGAGTAGGTGAGGTGAGGAGTGGTGAGGTGCAGAGTGGGTGAGGTGCAGAGTGGTGAGGTGCAGAGTAGGTGAGGTGAGAGTAGGTGAGGTGCAGAGTGGGTGAGGTGAGAGTAGGTGAGGTGCAGAGTGGGTGAGGTGCAGAGTGGGTGAAGTGCAGAGTGGTGAGGTGCGGTGTGGGTGAGATGCAGAGTGGGTGAGGTGAGAGTAGGTGAGGTGAGGAGTGGGTGAGGTGCGGAGTGGGTGAGGTGCAGAGTGGGTGAGGTCAGAGTAGGTGAGGTGAGGAGTGGGTGAGGTGCAGAGTGGGTGAGGTGCAGAGTGGGTGAGGTGCGGAGTGGGTGAGGTGCAGAGTGGGTGAGGTGAGAGTAGGTGAGGTGAGGAGTGGGTGAGGTGCAGAGTGGGTGAGGTGCGGAGTGGGTGAGGTGCAGAGTGGGTGAGGTGCAGAGTGGGTGAGGTGCAGAGTGGGTGAGGTGCAGAGTGGTGAGGTGCAGAGTGGGTGAGGTGCAGAGTGGGTGAGGTGCAGAGTGGGTGAGGTGCAGAGTGGTGAGGTGCAGAGTGGGTGAGGTGCAGAGTGGGTGAGGTGCAGAGTGGTGAGGTGAGAGTGGGTGAGGTGCGGAGTAGGTGAGGTGCAGAGTGGGTGAGGTGCAGAGTGGGTGAGGTGCAGAGTGGTGAGGTGCAGAGTGGGTGAGGTGCAGAGTGGGTGAGGTGCAGAGTGGGTGAGGTGCAGAGTGGGTGAGGTGCAGAGTGGGTGAGGTGCGGAGTGGGTGAGGTGCAGAGTGGTGAGGTGAGAGTAGGTGAGGTGCAGAGTGGGTGAGGTGCAGAGTGGTGAGGTGCGGTGTGGGTGAGGTGCAGAGTGGTGAGGTGCAGGGTGGTGAGGTGAGAGTAGGTGAGGTGCAGAGTGGGTGAGGTGCAGAGTGATGAGGAGTGGTGAGGTGCAGAGTGGGTGAGGTGCAGAGTGGGTGATGTGCGGAGTAGATGAGAGCGGGTAGCAGGAGAAGCAGAGTGTGTGGTGGCAGTGGAAGGCAGTCATAGGAGTGCCTACAACGGGTGCGAGAGTCGCGTTAATAAAGTGTGAGCTGGTGACCTGTTACTCCGTGTCGGTGCGAGTTATTTCGATACACTACACTAGTACAGCACACCGGTGTGTTTGGAAAGCAAAGCCACAACATTTACTATCTGAGTACCACGTTTCGCCACTAATTACAACTAGCTTCATCGGGCGACAGCCAGATTTGTGGAGAAATCCTCCTGTTTCGTTCCTTAAATAGAGGGGTAGATGTGATGACGTCACTTGTGTGCTCTTCTTGCGCGAAGTGGGGGGGGGGGGGGGGGTTAATGAAAGCATATTAATAACTTGTGGGTATCCATTGCCATTTGGGTTATCTATATGGTAAAGAACGTACATTATGCATGCGCATTATGCAAGCCCATTGTTCTGTTGAAAGCTTCGGTAATACATCTTTTGTACCAGATATTAATTTATGTATTTTATGTACTGTGCCAAATCTGACTTGGATGTTTTGTTTTTCCAAACATGTGGCTAATTTTCCAAACATGTGGCTAATAACATTGGCTTCAGCGAAGGTGCAAACTAAACAATACAATTGCTCTCATCTTGTAAACTTCATAAATAAAAGACTTCAAAATTACAAAACCGTACTTCGCATCACGCCCCCCCAACCGCGCGGCCCCCACCTGTAGCGGCGGGTGAGGTTCCGATCGCCGGGTTGGGCTCCGCCACGAGGCAGATCCGTTTGGTGGACGGCTCCGAGCCCTCCCTGACCTGCAGCTCGTCTGCACGGCAACGCGCGCACACACACGGCACGCACACACACGTCACACACGTCACACACGGCACACACACACACACGGCACACACACACACGGCACACACACACACACACGGCACACACACACACACACGGCACACACACACACACGGCACACACACACACGGCACACACACACACGGCACACACACACACGGCACACACACACACGGCACACACACACGGCACACACACACATGGTACACACACACGGCACACACACGTCACACACACACACGGCACACACACACATGGCACGCACACACACGGCACGCACACACACGGCACGCGGCACGCACGGCCCACTTGACAACTTAATTTAATTGGCTCTGTCGGGTGGTAGAGGGTTATAGGTAAACTAACGATTAATCAAAACATTGGTCGTGAAAGCCGACACATAAATTCATTCATCAAATCATTCATCCTCGCGCCCCATACCATTGCAGCTGAGCACCAGGTTCCCATCCTCGTCCTGACACATGGTGACTGTGCCGATCGTCTCCAGCGTCACCCCGGGGGACTCATCCTCCCCACAGTTCATTCCTGCGCCACGCACACAGCACCGTTACACTGCGCTCGTCATCGGAAATCCAAAGCTGAATGGACGACTTCTTTGACAACCGTCCCAGTCGTCACGTGCCTCCTTCCATCCTCTTTGCCCAGGGAGAAGCTCCCATGATCTGCAGCGAGCCCATCACCTTCTCTCCGGGCTCATGGGGCGGCATGAGCTGATGCCTGGTGTGTAGGACAGGGGGAACAAACATTGCCGGACGCGGCGATTACGTTCCAGGGAAATGCCGTGCTGGGCAACACCGCGCTCGACAAATAAGAGAGCTCATGGCAAATATAGAGTTGTGTACCTGCGTTTGAAATTGTCACCCCCGCCCTCTCTGTTCAATGTGTGGACCGCTACATGCATGCGGCAATGTGAGCATTTGGGTTGTGCCGTTGATCGTGTCGAGTGTTGCATTATCATGCAAAAAGCACACGTGGTAAATAGTTGTCACAGTCGATTCATTTACGCCTTCCAAAGGATACAGCACTCTCACGGCCGGACTTTTCGACGCGAAGATGAGAATCATAGCCGCGACAAACCACCTAAAGCCGAAACATCATCCCCGTGTCCCGGAAAACTCGTGAGGCACACCGCCTCGTGCCCAAAAACGTGTTCCATAAAACCGCGCTCGGCAAGGTTTCCCTGTATCTTGCCAGCGCGCACGGACTTCAAAGAGACTTCTCAGACTGGACCTCGTGGCTGTAGTCTCTGGTCTGTCATTGCAATGTAACGCGTGCGTGTGCCCGTGTGTACATGCTGAGACCACAAGGGGGATTACTCATAGCGGCAGCTCTTTGTGGATCGTAATCCATTTTCTAGTGCGGCCCTCACGAGATGTGGAACGATCAGTGGATGCAGCTTCCATTGAATGTGTATTTATTGTAACACCCTGCACAGGAGGAGGTGGTGGTGCACAGGCGATGTGCAGTGTCTACAGGTGGTGGTGGTGGTGCACAGGCGATGTGCAGTGTCTACAGGTGGTGGTGGTGGTGCACAGGCGATGTGCAGTGTCTACAGGTGGTGGTGGTGGTGCACAGGCGATGTGCAGTGTCTACAGGTGGCGGTGGTGCACAGGCGATGTGCAGTGTCTACAGGTGGTGGTGGTGCACAGGCGATGTGCAGTGTCTACAGGTGGTGGTGGTGGTACACAGGCGATGTGCAGTGTCTACAGGTGGTGGTGCACAGGCGATGTGCAGTGTCTACAGGTGGTGGTGCACAGGCGATGTGCAGTGTCTACAGGTGGTGGTGGTGGTGCACAGGCGATGTGCAGTGTCTACAGGAGGTGGTGGTGGTGCACAGGCGATGTGCAGTGTCTACAGGTGGTGGTGGTGGTGCACAGGCGATGTGCAGTGTCTACAGGTGGTGGTGGTGGTACACAGGCGATGTGCAGTGTCTACAGGTGGTGGTGCACAGGCGATGTGCAGTGTCTACAGGTGGTGGTGGTGGTGCACAGGCGATGTGCAGTGTCTACAGGTGGTGGTGGTGGTGCACAGGCGATGTGCAGTGTCTACAGGTGGTGGTGGTGGTGCACAGGCGATGTGCAGTGTCTACAGGTGGTGGTGGTGGTGCACAGGCGATGTGCAGTGTCTACAGGAGGTGGTGGTGGTGCACAGGCGATGTGCAGTGTCTACAGGTGGTGGTGGTGGTGCACAGGCGAAGTGCAGTGTCTACAGGTGGTGGTGGTGGTGCACAGGCGATGTGCAGTGTCTACAGGTGGTGGTGGTGGTGCACAGGCGATGTGCAGTGTCTACAGGTGGTGGTGGTGGTGCACAGGCGATGTGCAGTGTCTACAGGTGGTGGTGGTGGTGCACAGGCGATGTGCAGTGTCTACAGGAGGTGGTGGTGGTGCACAGGCGATGTGCAGTGTCTACAGGTGGTGGTGGTGGTGCACAGGCGAAGTGCAGTGTCTACAGGTGGTGGTGGTGGTGCACAGGCGATGTGCAGTGTCTACAGGTGGTGGTGGTGGTGCACAGGCGATGTGCAGTGTCTACAGGAGGTGGTGCACAGCCACCACTAATTCCCCTGCCTCGATCGCCACCCCAACAACGTTCCGCCTCTTCTCCCCACCCCTCTCGCATCTTTCCCACCGGCTGCCCTCTCCCCGCGTCTTTGACAGAAGCGACGTTCTCCTCTCTCTGCCTTCACAGCTGACAGACTCGAACAGGCCTCGTCCGTCTGTATGCCTCGTGTGCGTCAGAATGCACATCTCATACAAGATGTGTGGATAACGCCCGTGAGTCTGTGTATATAGTACTGTGCTGTGCGTGTGTGCGCTACCTCCGTGTGATGCGTAAACATTGCACCCAGCGCCAGCCACAGGCACCAGCAGCAGCAGCAGCACTCACACGCGCCTCGCACAGCGACAGGCCGGCCACTCACACGGCGACACGGCCACGGGCAGTCTCCGCTGTGGACACGAGAACTCGCTCTGTCTCTCTCTCTGTCTCTCTGTCTGTCTCGCTCTCGCTCGCACACAGCGGCGCCGGCACGACGCGGTCTCAGTCGCCCCCAGCGCTCCAATGCCCAACCACAGCAGCAAGGGCCTAGCCCCAGTCGCCATGTTACACAGCAGCAGCCACAGCAGCCACAGCGGCAGCAGCAGCGGCAGCGGCAGCCGCTCGGCTCCAGCGTGGGGGGAAGCTGCCGTGGCGAGCCGCTCACTCGGCCCTTCCCCTCCACGCCCGCCCGCCCGCTCCCCGCTCCCCGCTCATTCATCCATATTCCCGCTCCGTCTCCCACGCGGCCGCGCCGCTCGCCACTCACTTCCTGGGTCCGGGGACTCGGCCGCGACCAGAGGCCAGGATGTGCGGCCCTTCAAAACCCTACAGCGGATAGGTATGAGGGATTTAAAACCCTACATACGATGCGTATTTGAGCCAAAAACTCTACAGCAGATAGGTATAGGAGATTTTAAACCCTACATCCGATGCGTATTTGAGCCAAAAACTTTACATCGGATAGGTATACGGGATTTAAAACCCTACATCTTATGCGTATTTGAACCTTAAAACTCTACACCAGATAGGTATATATGATTTTAGACCCTACATCCGATGCGTATTGGAGCCAAAAACTCTACATCAGATAAGTATGAGAGATTTAAAACCCTACATCGGATGCGTATTTGAACCTAAAACTCTACACCGGATAGGTATATAGGATTTTAAACCCTACATCCGATGCGTATTTGAGCCAAAACCCTACATCGGATAGGTAAGAGGGATTTAAAACCCTACATCTGATGCGTACTCGAACCTAAAACTCTACAGCGGATAGGTATAGGGGATTTTAAACCCTACATCCGATGCGTATTTGAGCCAAAAACTCTACATCGGATAAGTATTAGAGATTTCAAACCCTACATCTGATGCGCAATTGAACCTAAAACTCTACACCGGATAGGTATATAGGATTTTAAACCCTACATCTGATGCGTATTTGAGCCAAAACCCTACATCGGATAGGTATAATTTTTTTTAAACCCTACATCTGATGCGTATTTGAGCCAAAAGCGCTACATCCGATAGGTAAGAGGGATTTAAAACCCTACATCTGATGCGTACTCGAACTTAAAACTCTACAGCGGATAGGTATAGGGGATTTAAAACCCTACATCGGATAGGTATATGTTATTTAAAACCCTACATCTGATGCGTATTTGAGCCAAAAGCTCTACATCGGATAGGTAAGAGGGATTTAAAACCCTACATCTGATGCGTACTCGAACCTAAAACTCTACAGCGGATAGGTAAATGAGATTTGAAACCCTACATCCGATGCGTATTTGAGCCAAAAACTCTACATCGGATAAGTATTAGAGATTTAAAACCCTACATCTGATGCGTATTTGAAACCAAAACTCTACATCGGATAGGTATATAGGATTTCAAACCATACATCCGATGCGTATTTGAGACAAAACCCTACATCGGATAGGTATGTGATATAAAACCCTACATCTGATGCCCTCATCAGTGCCCCTACCTTGTTGCAGACCAATTCACACCGTATTGCTCACCCCCCGTGCCCTGACAAACATCAACCTTCATCCGACAAAGTCCCATCACCAGAGAGAAACACAAACATGTGTTGCCCGTATTCAAACGGCTCTATGCCGCATGGACCCAAAAACTACATTTCCCTGTACAAGAAAACGGGTAAACCGTATGGGGTTGACATCTATGGGGTTTGCGAAATCGGTGATTGTAGGTAGGGGCATGGATGTGTCTGCTACAACACAAAGCAGCAGCAGCCGCTGGCGACTCGGCACTGCAGAGGACCCCTTAGGGCAAGATGCGCGCCGAGAAATGCAACATTCCTCAGTCAAATCAAGTTGCCAAATGCCCTCAGATACGATGCCATTTCACACAGCGCGTTAAATTCAGCATCCACAATACAGTACATGCTCTTGTGTTAAATCGCCTAAATAGAAATGTCGTTAAACCCGGCACAGCCAATTAGTAAGTGTTGTACTAATTGGCTGTGTCGAGTGGTGGCGGGTTTAACGACACATTTATAGTTACACGATCTAACCCCCTCCCCTGTATTATGGATATTGGTCGCGAAAGCCAACGTGCTATACATTCAGCATCTGTTGCAACTTCAAAGATGTTAAGTATGAATACGTTTATTGTATAAAGTAACACGCCGAGTGCACACATTGTTTCAGTTTTATTGTTAAATACAAATTTCTGAGTTGTATCAACAGATTTGTTTCTGTTTTCTAGATTTAGTTTACATATTTGAAATGACCTCTTTCGCCGTACCAAAGGAAATGCAGTCACCCCTTGAAGAAATCGACTGCTGGGCTCAATGGGCTCTTGCCTGGCGACAAATAAGCGTCGACCACGCGGCGACGGAGCGAGGGACAGCGGGAGACGTCACAACGGCGGCAAAGAAACTCGGTTATAACGCTCCAGCCATGAAATAGCGCCTAGCAAGGCGCTCTGTGGATGAAGGTGAGGCACACCGCCCGTGGGGGAGAGGAGACCGCGACTGCCGCTCAACGCAGAGGGCCTCGGGAGGCGGCGAGCGACTCCTCGCCGCTCCTCTCCTGGCCAGGGGGCTCCACGGCCGTGGCATCCACGCCCGACCCCACTGCCGCCACCGTCGTCGTCACTCGCCATTCTCAATCCACTGCTGGATGAAGGCCTCCCCACGCCATCGCTATCTCTCACAATCCTGAAAAGTAGCGGCTGCTCGGGTGCTGGTGCAAGGTGGATCGTGACATGACCCCCAGTCTGCATTTACATAAACGTGCCAGTAGAGGGCCCTCCTTAGTCACAAGCTCCGCGAAGACGTGCACCAGCTGGTGCCCGTTGTTCACCAGCTGGTGCCCATATTCTTGGGTCTTTCGTGAAAGTCACGTAGATAGGTTCAAAGAAAATAACAAAACATAACCTATCTACGTGACTTTACCGAAAGACCCGAGAATATGAATTCCTGCAGTCACGAAAGCTTTAAGTCAGCTGGTGCCCGTTGTTGACGCGGCACCGGCGTAGCCAGCCGTCGCAACGGCTCCTCGCCGCGGCCACGGGCTCCGGCTATGACGAGGCGAGCAACAGGAGATGGCGAGCCTTGTCATAGGCCCCGAGGAAGATGAAGCCGCCCAGGCTGATCCAGGCCACGCGGGGGAGCAGCCCAGCGAAGAGCCTGCATGGGGGCAAGGAGAGCGTTTGACGACGTGCGCTGCAACGCGGTGGCAGAGCTCCACAAGTGTGCGGGCGGTGCGACTGCTCCGGGGCTCATGGGAGGGACAGGAGGCTGCAATTGTATCGCTTGCTCCAGCGCGAAATGCCAACTACGTTGTGCCACCGGCACGAGTGGGGAATGGTGGAAAACCAACATTGGGCCCAACACATCCAGATCCTGTTCAAATAAACTGTACCCAAATGTCAATGTTTTAAATGATAAATGTGCCACGAGAGACGAGTTCTGTTTTATAACATGAAGTGCCATCATTTGAAATCAATCACACTTAATTTGTGTTTTAAATCAAGGTACAAGATGATGATAGGGTCTTTCTGAAACTTGGCAAAACCTCTCACACCCAGCACCATATACCAAATATCCATTATATCACGTTTTTACACATTAGAGCTTGGAGCACGGTTAGACTGAATGAAAAGGCAAATTGACGCAATGACTTTCCGTGTAGTCACTGGTAACCAAGTTGAAGTAGTCAACTAACTCCACTGAGAGCCTTGGTAAGGCTGCCTTGATGTGAAGCCAGGGTCGTATCCCTGCTGCAGCGCTTTTAGCACCGCCATTATGAGCCCTCCGAGCCACTCGGCCATTTCGCCCCAAAAATGATGTTTACAACAGAGGCAGAAGAACCCATACCCAGACAATCCCTGTATCCTCCAGATGCCCAGGAGCACTGCTGTGATGTTTCCTTCCGCCGTGTTTGTTCCAGCCTGACACAGAAATGCAAAACATCAACGCAAATTAGAGATGAAATGTAGCTGTTCAGCAACAACGTCCACAACTCCCAACATTCACCTAGGGCAGGCTTTCAACAGACATTACAGAATTCGTTACTAGCCTGCATCGTCATGGACCGCATGACCGCATCACCTACCTGGCCCTAGACGGCCACTGACCTGCTGCAGGACCATCTGTCGTTGGTCCTGCTACCGTGACGAGGATCTCGTGTCTTCTTTCTGTAATTGTGCTTGGTAATGCTACACTTTCAGGTGGCTTATATTCATGATGATGGGAGGGGGTAGGATTAATCTAGTGACATCGATCCCTCTACAACACACAGGGTAGAACACCTGGTGGTTAACACCCCAGGCTCTTTGGCTGCACCCGTGACTATACACTGTTAATACCCTCAGCAACAATGCGTCCATTAACCCAGATTCCTGCGCTCATGATCCATGCAAGAATTATATTTTTACATATTTTTTTATCTTCGCATTTGTGGCACGAACGTGGCCGTGAGTATGTGGGTCGAGGGTCGAGGGTCGATCCCGCACCTTGGCCAGCATGATCCTTGTCTTCGCGACGTCCAATGGCGTCGTGACTGCTGCGGCCACCCCCCCTGTGGTAGTAACACACGGGGAACAAACAGACAGTGGTTTTGACACAATCACCATGACACATACACACACAGACCCACCAGAACATCCGGGCAGTGGTGGATATGCTCGTGGCCCGTGATCCAGTGGAGGCAAGGGTTGGTGGATCGCACAGATGTTGCAAAGCTCCCTTCCTGTGTGCGTCGAGCAGGCGCCATAGCCTGGCTCGCCAAGTGACGGCAGTACAGCCAACACGTGGACGCCACCCGTTCTGTCTGGGAGGGACACAGCGTGTCTCCGCCTCGCACGCGTGTGCTTCCTCCGGGTGCTCCGGTTTCCTAGCGGAGCTTTGGCAAATGTTCACTGCGTAGCTGCCTTCCCGCTCGTCTGTGACTCGTCCTCCTCGCGCATCTGAGTCGTTCTCTCTCTATGAGAGTGAGCGAATACTGTTTGGCGGCACGTTACAAGTTGGAATTATTATTAACGAAGCGTTTGACCGAATATCATATTCTTGTTGAATAATCAGCTTGATTTCAGAGGCTACCGTAAAACCTCCCTCCAAGGGCCTGAGGGGCCACAGGCTGTGCAGCCTCTAAGTGCACGAATTTCCACACACAACTGGATTCACCTGCAATGATTCAGGTTATCGCTGTCATCATTTGTAGGCCACTGGATGCAGTGCAAGAGGGTGCACTTCATGCCAAACCTGCGGGCAGCGTTTCCAAACTGTTTGTAGGTATCGCTCATAAAACGTTCTTAAAGCTGCACTTTGCAAAGGAAATATTTTGACTTCAGATATTAACTCAACAGATAAAATTACAGTGAAATAAAATCGCATACATTACTTGAAAACGCCTGATATGTGACCCAGATTGAACAGAGAATGTCCTTGTCCATAAACATTTGGCAGTTCACCACAGCATCGGTGCAAGAAAGCCTGACTGCTGTTGAGACACTGAATGTTAAAACTGGTCCGGTTTGCTTGTGTTGAACCAATGCTGCTGAAATGATTCACTCCCAGAAGGCTATATGGCTGATGTGATGTGTAAACAGATACGTTTATATTTTTTGTGGAAGGACAGATATGTAGATGCATATTGTTGGCTTATTTTGTTACTTATATTCTCTAGAATGATGATAGTTATTATTTAGTGATGTTTGTACAAATCATTATTATCAGAATAATTGTAATGAAATTTGATTGACTTTCTTTTTGAATGAAAGAAAATAATTGAATATGAAATGAGCCACTTCACATGAGTTTATCTTTTCAGAAACTTATCCAAAGAATCGTTTACGCGCAAGTACAGGAAGAAAACGTGTAGACCTACGCACCTGCCACAGCTCCACACGTGGCGGCTTGCCACGAGTCCACCTCATGGCCCTGGTGGATCGCCCATCTATCCTGGCGGGCACAGGGTCACCGGGGACATGAACAATGTAAACCAACCGTGGGGCAGCATGCATGTATGTTGAACTTCTTTCACACCGTACGTAGCCAACCGTGTTAATCGGAGCTCGAGTGCATTAATGGGGAACTGGTGTCAATCACTCGCTCGCTCACTCAGCAGGGAACGTGGGGCTGGTGTGTCCTGTTTCCAGTGGGCTCAAGGCTGCATCGGGCCACACTTTAACGGAGCGCAGGTTTCAAGCTTGCGGGCCTTGTGATGGCACGTTACTACGTGCTCTAGGCTGCCAAGCGTGGCTTGGGCAGCTGGTGAAGAAGACTGTGACCAAATCAGCTGGGATGTGCCCGATCTCCTCAGATCTCGGAAGATAATTAGGGTTGAGCCTGCAGAGTGCTTGGATAGGACAGACAGCAGCATGGAAAAATCCATTGGTCTACTGTGCTTCTATGCTCCCACATCCAGTGTCCCCACCTTCACCAACCCACACTGACCAGCATGAAATACATTAAATAACTCCCATGATCAACAAAACGAAATATACATCCACTCATTCCTTGGTACACAAATTGTTGTTGTTTCGGCTGAATAGCGCATTCACCGCTGCTCACCTTCAATAACTCCCACAGTGGAAACTGGACAAAGGAGAATGGGATCTAAAACGGGACAGAAACACACACACGTTTTGCTCTCTGAAAGCATCAGTAATGCACACTGCTGGACTTCTCAGTAAGTGCAGGTAACACAATTCTTTAATTTGAAAATCTATCTATTGTTCTATTCTACCGCTTTGTTGATCGTCGCGATCCACCGCGCGGTGTTCACGGAGTCCGCCGCGTGATGAACACAACCCAAGAGACACACAGGCTTGCCTTGGGCCTGGGCCATTCCAGGCAATACCCACCACGTAAAGATTCTCAAGACCTGTCGGGACTCTCCCACAAACCATCATCGGCCAAGATCAATTGACTGCTGGATTCAGGCCTTCAAAGCTGAGCTTATTTCATCATTCCATCTCCGAGGTGGACGTACATTTGGATGTGATGCATTCTTTAACTGCCACTCCAATCACTACCGTCCTTGGACATTGGCCATCAAGCCTTCTAGCAACCTGTCTTGCCCAAGTCCGCTTAATTTTCTTTAAATGTGTATGGTGTCCTTCACTTGTGTATGTTCTCTCATCCATTGTTTTCTCCTTCTGTCTCAATATAATTCCAAGCTTGTAGCTCTCCACGCTCCTATGCACATTTATACGTTTTTGTTCCGGTTTTTTTAGTGTTAACGACCATGTTTCTCAACTATATGTCAACGCGTAATGGACGTGAAAGTTAAATTAAGAGCAGGTGTCCTTTCTTCAAACTCGAGGCAGGGGGAGTGTGGCCATACCTCTCTGGCGATGGTGCTTTTGAATCCCCGATATAGACCCCAGATACCCTGCAGACACACACACACAAACATCCTCTATCAAGGCTCAACAGTATGTCTGGCTACGTGCTATTAGCGGCACCTGTTAAGGCCGGAATGGTACATGAAGGGATGGTGGGACCAGCATGCCCACCCACCTTAATCATCATGATCTCCAGTGGTTTTTATATAGCAGCGTCGCTCATGCAAACTGCATCTCAACACTACACAACTCTGCAACACGTTAAGATGTTTTGAGCCAATTAATGACCGTTTCTAAAAGTGGTAGGAAACAAGAGCACCCGGAGAAAAGCCAAGCGTGCAAGGGGCGACACTCTATCCCATATAGATGGAACGGATTGAGATTTGTCCACACTTGCTGTACCGCCTTCTCCTGGCAAACTACGGTAGGGCACTTCGACACCCACGGTAAGGGAGTTTTACAACATTTGTGTGATCCATCAACCCCCGCTGCCTCCACAGTGTAGGATTACAGGCCACGTGAACAGCCACCACCGCCCAGAACCCACAACGCCAGTGGACACAATGACCACACGAGAGCCCGCAATCTCAGCAGGGTTGGTGGATCGCACAGAGATCGCTTGTGTGCAAGATACCCATCTACAGGAATACGAGACGGCCAGTAGTTGACAGTTAAGCAGATCGCTGACCTATCCGTGTGCATATCTGTAATATTCCTCCAAGTGTATGGATTTTCTCAGTGTGACCTATTTTCTTCTCTCGCTCGTAAACACTAAGCGAGTGATGCAGGAGAGGTTTGCCGAGCGGGGGACGTCAGCCCCGCGCCCCCGTTACCTCGCGCTGCAGCGTGGCAGCCAGCACCTGGCGGGTGGCCACTCGCGTCGCCTGCGCCCGCTGCTTCACCACCTCCACGGGCACGCGGATCAGACACGCCACCTGCTCACGCAAAAGACAACGATCCCCTGTGTAGCCTTGAGCAGACTGCTGGGTACAAATGCTGTTAGCGAGGAGCACCTATGAAGGCCGGTCTAGCACATGAAGGGGTGGGGGGCCAACACTATGCCCGGCTGCCTTTGTCTCCCCAGTGGCGATGTTTACACAGCACACCAGGTGCTCATTTGATACCGAGTCGACCTAGGGAAGGCCAAGGACCGGTTCAGATAATACTCACTGGTGTTGCCCACCAGCGGGAATCGAACTCGGATCGCCAGGTTCGTAGCACAATGCGCTAACCGCTGCGCCGCCGCTCCCCACAAGGGACACACAGACGTGGATGAGACACTCCGGCTGGGGACGCGCAGGCTGCACTGTGCGTGCGCCAAACCCTCACCCTAACCACCACGTGTCCCCGCACCCCAGTGACGACCTGCCATGCATGGGAGCTGCCCGGGTTCAACCCTGCGGAGCTTGTGAGATCTGAATATCGGGCGCGTTCTGGGTGTGCGACATGCGGAGTTGTGAAATGCTCCTCACGGCTTCTCCGATGGAGGCAGCTGCCATGTGTGACAGGGGCGAGCTGCCCAGAGCGGCCTTCACAGTCTCGTAGGTCACGAAGAATGCGGCGGCTGCAACAACACGCGGCCACGCGCATTCCGTCAGCTCCCTCCTGTCCGGAGATGCCGTGTGACCCTCCCGCAAAATCCACAATAACTCGAGAGACTCGTGTTAAACGCAACAGTTAAGGAGTAAAACAAACCAGCATAAACACATTACGTTTGGGCAATGATTACAATTTGGTTTAACTCATGCTGCATGGACGACGCAACCCAGGTGGTCAGTCCCGCTGTTTCATTTTGGCAGACCGCACGTATTTGTGAAATTCGACCGGCTGACGAATGAACACACGGCTTCCGTGAGGGACAGCGGGACCTTCTGGAGGTCCCGGCTCTTGAGTTTAAGAAGCACTGCACTTGCCCATGCACTGTGGGATTGTAGTCTGAGTGGAGGCTGATGCCACTTCTCCACTGCACAACCGAGCCACGCCGTGGCCTTACCGAGCCATACCGCTGACGTCACAGGCAATGAACGAGTCCGCAAGCGCATTGACCGACGCAATGTATGAACGAAAATATGAATTGGCTCCGCTTGGCCCTGAGCCAGATTCATTTTTTGTACGAGGCCAGCGTAGCTTGGTTTGGTTCTGGCTTAGCGTGGCTCGCCTGTGGAAAACCATCGGCACCGCGAGGACCACGTGCCGGCTCGGCTCGGGGCCGGGGCAGTGGCATGAGAGCCGCTGCCCCGGCCCCGTGCCCCGTGGGTCGGAGCGGTTGGGGGCGGAGGCCGAGAGGCCGTGACGGGCGAGCGGCCGGCACCGTTGGGGAAGGAGCCGACGGCCGCCGAGGGGACGCCCGCGTAGACGCCACGGAAGCCGCCGGCACGCGCGAAGCCCTGGGCGCTCTGCAGGCGCGTCTTGAGCGTGTCCAGCGGGAAGAGCGTCAGGTCCACGCTCGCACCCGCCAGCCCCCCGGCCTGCCAAACGCGCGCACACACGCACGGGGTAAAGGTGCGGCCCTGCAATGACTTGCTCTTGCCACTGCTAGCAGAAGGGCCCGCCACCAGCCCATCGATCGACTCCCGGCGGCGACGACAGCGACCTGCAGTCCTCGTGACCCGCCACTGGTTCACCTTCCCGCCTTTACCACCCTTTTCCACGCTGGAAGAGGTGAACGTACCCACACTTTGTCCCACCACAACCGGCTGTGCCAAGTGCTGTTCACCATTGCCAGCCATAGTCAACCAATCCACCGCTATCGCTGGCCTTCTAGGGCCTGCGGTGCAACAATCCACCTAGCCCCTGCTGCAAAACAGCTGATTCCATCGCTCCGTCTCCTCCATGGCCGTCCTCTGGGGCGCACTCCCTCCTTTGGTTGCCACTTTGTGCAACGTCAGCTGTGGTTGTCTTGCACGCGGTACGGACAGTGGGGGGTTATTTGACCATACTTCACCACGTCGGTCAGTGCGACTTGGAGAGGAGTGGGGAGCTTGGGAGTGCGGTACAATGCAATGGATGTCGCTGAATTTTACTCGCTCAGCTGCACACCACCTACCAAGCAGCCCCGCGCGCTGCATCCAACGACAATAACCTGTGCCATAATGCCACGGGTGGTTGCCCATTCCAAGCATTGTTTTCTTCATAGGTAAACCATGTTAACATAAAACACGTGTTTGATTGAGACAACGCACCACGTGTTTCTCCATTTAGACAACACACACGTGTGTGACACAACATACACACACGCGTCTCCCTTCACACAACACACACGTGTGTGTGTGTGATTGACACAGCAGGCACAGCAGGCGTGTGTGTGTGTGATTGACACAACACACACACACGCGTCTCCCTTCACACAACACACACGTGTGTGTGTGTGATTGACACAACAAACGTGTGTGTGTGTGATTGACACAACACACACGTGTGTGTGTGTGTATGATTGACACAGCAGGCACAGCAGGCGTGTGTGTGTGTGATTGACACAGCAGGTGTGCTGTGCGTGAGACACGAGGTCGCACTCACCGCCAGACAGGCGAGGAACTCCCTCGTGTTCATTCACGCTGCTGTTGTTGCTGCTGATGATGCTGCCGATGTTGCTGCTGATGCTGCCGATGTTGCTGCTGCTGTTGATGTTGCACACAGCACACAAAGATCCCCCGTATAGCCGTAACAGACTGTTGGGGCAAGTGCTGTTAGCGAGCACCTATGAAGGCCTGAACAGCACACGAGAGGGTTGGGTGGCCTGCACCACGGCCGACCGCCTTTGTCTCCCCAGTGGCAATGTTTACTACACACCGCAACAGTTACTCATTAGAGGCCGCGTCAACCTAGGGGATGCCCGGCACCGGTTCAGATAATCGGTGTTGGTGGCCGTGAGCTGGAATCGAACTCGGTTCGCCAGGTTCGTAGCGCAACGCGCTAACCGCTGCACCACCGCTCGCCCCCAACACGCACGTGGCGGGCACGCGCGCGCCGCTCTCCCCGCAGAGATCGCCAGGGGTCACGCGGACAGGGGTCACGCGGACAGGGGTCACGCGGCCCGGTTCGCTACCGGGGAGCAGGTCCGGGTCGCCGCGGCTACGCGCCGCCTCCTCGCTCTCGCACGCCCCCACTCCCGTCACCGCACGGGGTGGGTGGAGCACACAGTGAAAGGAAACATAACTTAGTTCGACGTTTCGTTACCCAGAACCGTGACCTTGAATCGGGAACCCTTCCTCATGGTGCCCCGCCCCTCTCAGATTCTAGCCCCGCCCACCACTCGCGTAGCCCCGCCCACCACTCGCGTAGCCCCGCCTACTGCCCTTCGACCGCGACCATCTCGTCATCTTTGCCCCGCCCAATCCCGGGTAGCACCGCCCACTTTGCGTATTGACCCCGCCCCTCTCCGAAAGTTGTCCCGCCCACTTCCCATCTTGGCCCCGCCCATTTATGGGTAACCCCGCCCACTTCCCGTCTTGGTCCCGCCCACTTCCCGTCTTGGTCTCGCCCGTTCATGAGTAACCACGCCCACTTTCTGTCTGGGCCCCGCCCATTCATGGGTAACCCCGCCCACTTCCTGTCTTGGCCCCATCCACTTCCTGTCTTGGCCCCGCCCATTCATGAGTAACCCCGCCCACTTCCATCTTGGCCCCGCCCACTTCCCATCTTGGCCCCGCCCATTTATGGGTTACCCCGCCCACTTCCTGTCTTGGCTCCGCCCTTTCCGCGTCTGCTGCAGAGCCGTAAACACGCGGGCGGATATCCAAGTGCGTAGTGGCTGACAGCGGCAGTGGCTACAATCACTCGCGCGTTCGTCTCAATTAACTCGCCAATTAACAAAGCACGCGCTCGCGGGCAGCGCGAGACATGGCCGACGACGAGGACGACGATCGCGAGGGGCTACGCCACTACCTGCAGCAGATGCCGGGTACGCGGCGGCAGGGGCCTGTGTGAGTGAGGGAGCGAGTGGGGTGAGCCGTCTGCTTGCCCCAGACAGCTTGCCCTGTGTGAGGGAGCGAGTGGTGTGAGCCGTCTGCTTGCCCCAGACAGCTTGCCCTGTGTGAGGGAGCGAGTGGGAGCAGACCGCTTGCCCAATCTGCTTCTGTCCGGATAGAGGGGCATGACACACTGGCGCGATTTCGGCCTAGAGAAGAGATGGAGCTGATGTGAACGGGGCTGCAGTGGACCTGCCAGTGATTGGTACCAGCGGTGTCAACATCGACGTCTGTGGAGGAGGAGGCTCCTGGGCAGTCGCCCTCCAGCAACACAGCGTCTCGGCCTTTAGTTACCCTCGTTTGTGATCACCACCAGATGTGGCGATGTCAATCGGTGATTGTTGTGTACATTGAGGATGGACTGGGTCCTGCCATGCATCTGCAGCCACTGCCGGCTCAAGATCGGAATGTGGAAGTGGCCCTGTACACAAACGCGCACGCACATCGAGAAAGAGGAAGTGTGGTGATGTGTTCACAGGTTGAGCTGGCCGCCGAGCACATCCTAAACAAGTCTGGTATTTATATTCTGGTATTTATCTCCACCCAGTGTGGTTAGGTGCATTCACTACGATGGGATTGGATGTTTGGTGAACCCAAGAGTTTTGTTATAACCGCGCAAAGCTACAGGCTGTAGAGTCATTTTATTTCAGTCGAAGTTAATGTTTCTTGGCTTTAGAGACTCCATAGATTTAACCCAGCCAGTGACGTCTCCACGACATCCATACATGTTCGATTTCTCTTAATTTGGCCAACTCGGATGTGTGTGTGTGTAGTGTGTCAATTGTTGATCTCGACGCCACGGGATCTTTACCATCCCCAAGCGAAGCAGACGACGCACACAGATCCGAGGTTAATCACATCCGCTGTGTTTATTTATCAGCGCCGCTGCTGGAATATAATCGCGAACCTCTAACGTGCGGCGAACGTGCAACCGCTCGGCCATATCAGCACCCCGATGGTGATGATGGTGGTGCTGGTGGTTTAATACGGGCACAGAGGAGGAGATCATCATCACGGCCGCCGTCACGCGTGGGGGGCAGCCTTCACGGCTCGTCCATCAATTGGCACCGCGAACATTCCCTGCTGCGACCTGCACCACGTGCCAGGCGGTGAGGGTGACGCAGGGTGAGTGGTGTAGGGTAGCGTGTAGCGCTACCAAACCCATACCCCTCTCAACCCATACGGTTCACCCGCATTCTTGTACATTGAAATGTCGTTTTCAGATCCATACGGCGTACAGACGTTTGAATACGGGCAAACAATGTTGTCTATTTGTGTTTCTCTCTTGTGATGGTGGGACGTTGTAGGGTGAACGTTGATATTTATAGGGGCACGGGGTGACCAATAAGGTCTGAATTGGTCTGTAATAAGGTAGGCACTGATAAGGGGTTGACAGACCATCCGAGTTCGATTCCCGTTCACGGCCAACACCAGCGACGATTATCTGAACCGGTCCTGGGACTCGGCCTCAAATGAGTTCCTGGTGCGATGTGTAAACATTGCGACTGGGGAGACAAAGGCGGCCGGGCGTGGTGCTGGCCACCCACCCCCTCGTGTGCCGTGCCGGTCTTCACAGGTGCTCGCTAACAGCACTTGCCCCAACAGTCTGTGAAGGCTACACGGGGGATCTTTGTTTTGTGGCTCTCTGTGCAGAACTGGAGGATGTGGAGGACGTGGAGGGGGAGGTGGAGGAGGAGGAGAGTGAGTTGGAGGTGGACCCGGGAGACGAGAGCGATGACGGGGAAAGCCCAACCATCATCAACTTCGACTCCACCTTGCCCGCGCTGCACTCGGTACGCGTGCCATGATCCTTCCATCACAGCCGCGGGGAATCCACCCAGGGAGATTATCACAGTCGTGCCCAGGAGCTAAAGCTAACTGGCACGTGGAGCGAAACGTCGGACGGAATGCCGAACAACTCGTGGTGCAATCCGTAAACACGTGGGAGAGCTATAGCCACAGAAATGTTTTCATTTGGCATCTTGGTATTCTGTATTACTGGATGGAGCTGGATGTAAACATATACTAGGCCCCTTCGGGGCAGCCTGTCAACACTAGACATGACTGAGTTTGGAACCCAGTGATTTCTTGCAAGCGTAATGCTGTTGTATGTATGTAATAAATTATAATCGTGTGCCCATGGCCAGATTCCAGATGTATCTCTTTGTGTACAAACTGATCATGTGCTGTCACATTAACTATAACTCACAAAGCCAAACCAGCCAAGAGTTTGCCTGCTTGAATAGCTCCTGTACTCGTGAAGTATTGCTGCTTTGCAACGCCCATGGGCAATGGACAGTCAGTACATGTTGTTTTGCACAGAGAGACGCACTGTTGGGTTCTTAGGGGCAGCATGGTGGCGAGATGTTAACTACCTCGCCTGGTATACAGGAGGTCGTCGGTTCGATTCTGACCCTTACTGCTGTATATTTCGAGTTTGCATGTTCTCTCTCCCTGTGGCTGTTTGGATTTTTCTCCAGGACTTCTGGTTTTTCCCTCCATGTTTATAAACGTGCGTTTTAGAGTATTTGGCTGCTATACATTCCCACGTGACAAATCCACTTCGTTGAACTATCATTTGTGGCCAGGTTGCTTCTGAAAAAGAGCTATTTAACTCAGTGGGCCTTACCTGGTAAAAAAATGTTTAGTTTTTAGTGTTGATACCTTTTAGTGGTTTAAATGTTTATCGGAGCTCTTTGGCAGTGTCCACATGGAAACCGACGAGATGAAATTGACCGACAGCCGCCAGCATCGGTGAGATTCACCATCGTATAGCCGATGCCTATGACATGGAATTGGTCCTATTCCACCACAATTTCTGCGTAACATTCAGGCAAGAAGGGAAGATCTGCAGAGGCCTAGACAGCCAACACAAATCATTTACAGTAATGCAGTGTTTTTTTAACTCAAAACGTCAATAATGCTGTGGCTGTTAAAGGGAAATATACCACAGGCGAAGTTTGGGACAATGTCCCATCATCATTTGTTTTTATGTGCTCTGGGTCATTGCCCAATATGTCGTCTTTTACTCCTTTTAATCCCACGGTGATATTGACGAACCTGCCGAGTCTCTGCTCCTTGTGCTCGTGCACCACTGCCAACTTGGCAGCGTCACCAACTCACTTGTTAATGTGTATGTGTGTTGGGTAATTATTAGGCTTTGAATTAATCCCCAACAAAATAAAGTGATTTTGCTCCCCACCTCCTCCAAGACGTGCGACCAGCATGGAATAGCCACTAGGTGGCCTCGGCATGAAATAGTCTTCCACCAGTAGTGGTCTGGGCAAACCATTTCAGGTTAGGTGAGTGTTACGCTGCGCATGCTTCTGTGCGCGTGCCACGGGAGTGGGTACTGCGTTGCACTACACACCCGACGACCAGAGTTAGATTTCTGCTCACAGCCAACATCGGCAATGAATAATCTGAACCGGTCTTGGCCTCGTCTAGGTTGACTCAACCTTAGAAGAGTAGCTGGCCCGGTGTGTAAACATCCCCCCTCGGTGTGGCACCATGCCGGCCCCGCATAGGTGTTCGCTAACAGTACTTGCACCAAGCGTCTGCGTGGCTATACGGGGGGCTGCTGCTGTGTTTGCAGTACCTGGGCACGGACCTGCAGGAGTACAGCGGACGCACGGTGCACGACGAGGAGAGCTGCCAGTCGGTGCCGCTGCTGTCGGGCGGCCTGACCATGCTCATCCCGGGACAGACGCTGCCGCTGCACCTGTTCCGCCCCCAGGAGGTGTCACTCATCCGCAACCTGGTGCTCAACGACCGCACCTTCGGGGTGCTGGCCTACAGGTGTGTGCACGTGTGTATGTGTTCGCGTGACTCAACCTCAAGTACCTAGTGCGGTGTATGAATATCGCCACTCGGGACACAAAGTTAGCTCAGCGTGGTGTTGGGCACCCACCCCCTCGTGTGCCGTGCCAGCCTTCATAGGTGCCCGTTAACAGCACTTGCCCCAACGGTTTGTTAAGGCTATACGGGAGATCTTTGTCTTTGTGCACGCCGTGCCAGTCGGCCGTATCTCACAAAACGGATACATTTCCCCCCTAGCCGGAGAACAGCTGTAGGAGAACGATGTTGTCACTTGCAGGTAGCCAGGATTGGTTTGGATTTCGCTGCTGATGTTAGCCATGGCAGGGAATTGAATTTCGGTGGCCGGAATTGATTGAACTGCTGTTCCACTGCTCTACGTCTGTGTAGTTTATGACATGATAAAAAAGTCACGTATTTTTTTTAATACGAGGGAAATCAGGACTCCCTTTGTTCCTATTTATATTTTCTTTTATACTTTTTATGCCTCTACAAAAATGATGCATTCACCTGCACAGAGGATAAAATGTTAGTGTTCTGATTCACTCACGTTTGATATGCAAATATGTCAGTGTTGCATATATTAATATGCAACGTGGACCATTCAAAGGGATAATGCTGTTCGAATGGGAATTTATTTGGCAGTAAAACATCGACTTGGCCACTTTAGGGAGCTGCCTGAATGCAAATTGCGGTCATCTGCGAAGCACAGATTGATTGTGTGGTGCTCTCCGAGTGTCTCTTTTGTGCATTGGCGAGCACGGTACTGGGCAGGAGGCACCCAGTTTGTTTTTCCACTGCAGAAGCTGAGCCGTGCTGCTTGCATTGAAATGCACTGATGACGTGGAACGCTATGTCAATCCTCGGTGTACCAAGAGATGTCACACGCAGTTAACTCGTCATTGTGGCTGGGCCTGCTTCACCCAAAGCCAGATTCCGATGTCTCGCTAGGTCAACGTAGCACGCTTTGGTTCTGGAAAACTTGCCAGATATTCCATTTGATGGGATTATCCAGGTAAATTATTTGAATAAAAAAAGAGTTGTATCAATGCGTTGTAGATTCCATGCATGTGTGACCTTTCTACCTCGCATGACGCTGTGGTGAATGTCGCATCTCTTTCAACGGGCGGATTGTGAGAACAATTCTACTTCAATTGACGAATTGATAAGCAGCGATGTCGTAGCACGCTTGAGGAAGTCATCCACCAGCGATATCACAAGGAGGCGCCATGACTGCGCTGTAGAGTCCTCCTCGAAGGCTGAAATCGATGTTTCAATGTTACAGGTTTGTATGTATGGATATACACTGAACTTTCTCGCACTGTACGCAGCCAACCGTGCTAATCGGAGGTGCAAGGAAATTATCGCGACAAAGGTGGGATTTGAACTCACGCGTGCAGAGCGCAACGGATTCGCAATGCGTCGCCTTAACCACCCGGCCTCCTGGTCTTGTGTCCATTGTGCAAGCATCAAATAGCGCTGGATTTGTTTTCACCGAGTATTGCTCAACCCTGAATAGCAATTGAACTTTAAAGGGAAATGTTGTTCATATTGTGTCATCTTAAATGATGATGATGATAATAATAATAATGGTAATGATTCAGTTCTGCTGTCACCCAATAATCCGGGGTGTCTCAGAGCACATCACACAACATCTTAACTCAACTCTTTTGAAGGGCACCCCCAGTGGCAGGTGCCCCTGTGGGCACAAGGCGTCTCAGCTCCTGGCCTGCAAATGGGCATTATTACTATGTATATTCCCAATTGAGTAATTTGCGGTGTAACTTTCGAACATGACAAATCTGGACCCTGATGCCAGCACACAATGGCCTCCTCTTGCGAATGACGTGGGGGAATCTTTAATGTTCATCGTGAAGTGGACGGCTCCTAGCGTGATTGTGGTTATGACACACGGCAGGAGTAACTGGGGCGGCCGCTGCCTTCGCACCGCGAACCTCTGTGACAAGCGGCGAGCGCGCTTCTGCTCGGGCCGTGTCATGTTTACAAGAGCTGTTGTAACCCCTCGTTCTAGACGGACGGATGGAACTAATGCATTCAAGCATTCAACCTTTGTTGAAAAGCGTTAAAAAACGAGCCCTAAATACTGTGTGGAAATTGCAGTGGGCGTTATTAGTTTTTCTTCCAGCAGGACAGTTCGTGTTTCTGTTGTGTACATTGAAATGGAACGCACGCATTCAACAACCTTGCCAACAGCGCATGATGGTAGAGAAGGGGGGTCCGTTTAGTGTTAGCTAAGTCAAGTTGAACTCAGTATTTAACGGGGGTTTATTTTTGTTCTTCCACAGTTTGATACGTGGGGTCAGAACATTGTAAATGTCACTGCCCGCGATGATAACGGCGCTTACGAGGAGGCAATGCGAGGAGCAGCGATCCCCCGCCTGCTTCGCAACGGGAAGATGAATGAGTCAGCGGCGGGTTGCAGAGGGCACGCCTCGCTCATGAATAGCGACCGGAGCTGCATATTATTCATCATGCTAGCTAAATGCACTGGCATGAATGGAAATTTGGTGCAAAACCTCGGCTTATACAGATTTAAGAGGATAACAATTTTCATTGTTAAGATAATTAAATTTCATATTGGAGACTCGTATTAACAACGGGCGGATTATGCACGCTGCCTTCCTCCGTGTGGCTCCCCGTGTCTCGGGCATTAGCAACAAACTATGAATCGTAAAGATACCTGGGTACGCCTCTCCGAGGCCTGGGTAATTATACGTTTCGCTCGGTGGTGAAGTTGCGATTGCACAGCCATTGTGCTTCCGCTTCAACCGATTTGGCCGTACGCTTGAGGGAGGGTGCATTGCCAAGCGAGAGAACAAATACTGCGTAGCTTTAGTAATAAAAGTGAGTATCGCAGTTGTTTATTCAAAACCTCAGTTGGTGATTAAACGATTAAACACAGTTCTCAATATGGGTCTCAGCCCTTCTAATGAACACATTAAGACGATGTGCGTGTAAATCCACTGCTGGCTGAGGGGTTATCCACACTGTGTAGGGTCGCGGGCGTTGTTTGACTCGACGGGCATTCATCGTATACGGAACCGAAACGTTCCTGAAAAGTTGTCCATGAAGCAATATTCCGAATATGGAGCCCTATTTGCCCATTGACTTCCATTAGATCATTGGAGATGCATTCCGACAGGATAAAAATGTGGCCCCAAGACATAATAATATAACACTTAAGAATGCAGAAAACCTCTTTTAAGCACGTGTTTGCGGGAAATCTATTGTTTTATGATGAATAATTTAGAATACTCGAGATAAGTTGTGATATAAATAATACTGTACATTGCTTATATCCAAGATAAATGCTTTAGAAGATATTTCTGCTATCACTTACACTTAATCGCCTCTTTCCAGACATCTTTACTTACTTTGATTTCCAGACCAGATGGAACAAATCTGGATATTATAATCAAAGCAGCGGAACCAGCTATTGGATCAAAAAGATCAGCCTAATTGACCAAATGCTTGCATTAAAAGATGATGCTTCTGTTCAAAAAGGGAGATGTTTAAAGAATTACAGGAACGTTAGCCTCTTGTCACACTTATAAAAATTATTTCAGAAGACCGCACAGCGAAATGGATCGTGGTATCATGGGACCAGCTGCGATGTGAGAATACATTAATCGAGCAGCGAATAGAACATGGGAGATAGCGATGATGAACAGACTGTTCATCAACACTCCAAACCAACGCTGCTGAGATCCTCGGCTGGAATCCCTCGGCTGGAATCCCTCCACTCATCCTGGGGTCAATCCACTCATCTTTGGTTAAATCATGTTCTCAAGTATGGAAAGTTGATGGTCCTTACCACAGTCACCAATGACTGCACAAAAACCCATCGGGTTGAATTTGATCTCCATTTACCCTTTGGCAAATGTGACCTGTGAACCAAACCTGCGATTTGGTTCCTTTGGACGAGCGCTCCTCGGGGGACGTGCCGTGCGAACTTGCATCGCTCGGGGTGGCGGTGACGTGGCCCAGCGGTCACGCGATCGTCGCTCGTTGGCGCGACGTGGGCTAGCGGTCATCGCTCGTTGGGGTGACATCGCCCAGCGGTCGTAGTTCTTTGTGGGGCTCGTGATTCAAGCGTGGCAGGCCGTGGGCGACACTGCAGGTCCTGCTACTCGCTTTGAGAAGCGGAGGCCATTGTGTACCGATGTCATGGTCAAGATTTTCCACATTTGAAAAAAATTCCGCCAAATGCAGTGGCGGCTCCTGCAAAATCTCTCAGGGGGGGCAAATGTCTGGATGATTGATAAGGATAAGGTCCACCCATGCAATGGATAAATTAACAGCTTAAGCATGTAAATGCAAATTCACTTCATTAATATTAATGAAAAATAAAGTAACTCTTACAATACATCTTGTTTGTTTCTATACTCACTATTAATACAATCCACTCAAGTTTCTTTTATTAAAGATTCCACTAGGTGGCGACAAATTATATTGTTGGATGAAACGTGCTTACGTATGATGACGTAAGCACGTTAGTGCGAGCCCTCCCGGAAGCCATAGAGAATGCATTGGAGCGCCCGCCGTTCGAAAAAAAACATCTTTGAATGTAAGTCTATGGGGCCACTCGGGGCGATTCTCAGCCGGAGTGAAATCGCCCAAAAAGAGGCGGTAGTCCAGAACGTGACATGACGCTGATTGGACTATATCCAGAGGCACAGTGACGGCTAGCGTGACTCTGTGGTTGAATGACATTGGTGGTGCGTCGCCCAATTGCCCTAATGAAGAAACCGCCTCTGGCCAAATGTCTCCGTTGGGATGACAGACAGTGACATCGCCTCCCACTATGAAACTGCTGTGGACTGTGTGAACCGTAATGCCCTCCTTCGTCATAGCCTCGCGCTGCCAGAATAGCAAATATAGCATATTTACTCAATTATTGTTAATCACGTGGTGTGGATAAGAACCCTAATTTAAGCGATTTCCGACGTGATTCTGTGACATCGTCTGCCGTAAGCCGTCCTCTTGACAAAATGTGATGCACCCTGCTTGCCGTGAGCGTTGCGCATTGGAATTCGTGGTCCCAAGACACTGATGCCGATAGTTCACTTGGGATTTATAACAAAAATAAAACCTATTAAAATTACGAAAAAAGAATTTATGTCTTCATATATAATAGCTTATGGCCGCTATATCACCTGCAATGCAAAATTATCCACCTACCCAACCAAATTAATACACATCACCTGATATTTATACCATTGAAGCAAACATTGAAAGATAAAAGCTAATTTAATGCATGGGGCTTTCATTGCTTTGTCTAGTAGAATAGGGAAAGTCGATGAGAGATAAAAGCTGGAATTTACAAATTAACTTTGAATAAGGGGCTTGACGGTGCAGCCTTCCACCCCAGAGTGGGTGTTGATGCTGCTATACTTAGAATTTCCAGGTTTTACCTTAGGTTGTCTTTAAGTTTTGGACTAATATACACGATCAAAAATTGCCATTTGTACCAATTACCCACAGCATGCCTGTGTTAAAATAAATTAAATAACCCTGTGTGTCCTGACTTTTGGGCCACTCTGTATGAAAGAAGCCTATTGGCTTCTGATCTATTTCGTTACTTATATTCTCCCCAACGATGCTAATGACTGTTTTGAGATTTTTCTGGATCATTTCAGCCTAAAGTGAGTACCCAGTGGCATGACCACATTGTCTCTGGTGGGACAAAGGGAGGTGTGGTTATGGCCACACCGTTGCTGCCGTACCAGTTTCACTGGGCACTCGTGAACAACACTCTCCCATGTGACCAATTACAGTTTATTCTCACACTCGAGATACAAGCACACAACCATGCATGTAATAACGTATTATCTACAATGTTGTCAATAATGTATTGAAAAGTGACCAATTATTAATGACAACAAGAATTAGAATACTGGAGTGTTACATATGCGGGTCTGTTCCCCTGTATGGATGTGGAATTCGGAAAATAACAACAAAAATGTGCTATTTTATTCAGGATGTTAAAAATTTCATGGACAAACAAGTTGAGTGACGGAAATGCATTATGGATAGCAGGTTCAAAAAATACAGAAAGGCAAGTTCGATTTCTTGGACATGTAATGAGAAAACAAGAGACTGAATGTCAAGTTTTGACTGGGAAAGTTATAGGTACAAGAAGCCGGGGAAGACGGCTAATTAAGTTGCATCGGAAATTTTAAGAATTGGGTGCAATTGGGAGGAGTATCTAAAAGCAAGGTCGTTGAGTAAATATCACGGAGAGAGCTGACGTCTTTGAGAGAGGACGTCGGGCTGTAGAGAGAGAGAGAGAAAGAACGTGTATATTACATGCAAATGGTACAAAGGAGTGCAAACAAGCAGAACAGAATGTAATTGACAAGCAATAAATGAAACGGTACAAATTAGAACAATAAATAATGGATTCCTAAGTGAAACCACAACCCGGGATCATGATGGTTCATCACATCACAGGAGGGGGGGCGACCCCTTACGCGTACGGCGGTGGCTACGCACGTGGCCCGCCGTCCAGCGCCTCGGAGGCAGCGAGCCCCCGTGAGTCGCGCAAATGGGCACCGAGGCGCCGTACCCTCGGCTCGCCGGGAGAAGGCGGCACGGAAAACGATGACTCCACCTGTTCCGTCTTTGTGGGATAGACTGTTGCCCCCCGCAAACGTTGGTTTTCTCCAGATGTTCTGGTTTCCTCCCACACGTAAGCGCTCATTAATCGGCCAATTACACCGTCGCACATACAGGACAGCAGAGCTTGGAGGGGGAATTTGCTGCCGTGAGCGAATATCGTGCGGCGGTGCGTCACGATCACCGCCGATGTGTACGGCTGAGCGTGCGTGCATCTGTGTTTGCGCAGCCTGGAGCCCACGTCGGGGCAGCCTGTGGCATCGGAGCTGGGCACGACGGCGGAGATCGTGCAGTGCAGCGTAGAGTCGGAGCACGGCGTCGAGTCCGTCAAGCTGAAGGCCGTGGGGCGCCAGCGCTTCCGGGTCATCGAGGTCCGCACACAGGTGGACGGGTACGCCCGCACAGCGCTCATTCGATCATCCAGAGTTCGCTCCTCATCAGTCAGCATCCTTTCATCCGTCACTCCTCATCAGTCAGCATCCATCCATCACTCCTCATCAGTCAGCATCCATCATCTGTCACTCCTTATCAGTCAGCTTCCATCCATCCGTCACTCCTCATCAGTCAGCATCCATCCATCCGTCACTCCTTATCAGTCAACATCCATCCATCCATCACTCCTTATCAGTCAGCATCCATGAAGTCATCCACCACACTCACTATCATCCAGCACTCAGTCACTTTCATCCAGCTATCGCCATAACTGTTTAAATCAGTTTTAAGTTTACCTGAACCAAAGCGAAAAATCTATTGGTTTGACTCCCTTCTCAGAGCAATGTTTCCTCATTAAACCCAGTCGGTTGAAATGTCAACATCTTCTTCCTTTACCTTTGGTGACAGTAAAGAAAATATACATCCTATATATAGTTTTACCTACTGTGTAATTCATCATGTCAGTTCCCTAGAGCAGCATTTAGCAATGACACCCGACAATATTATCGTGACAGGATGAAGGGAACTAGAACCCAGCAGCTGCATAATCGGAGGCTAGCTGGTTAAGTGTGCGTGTGATTGTCACAATCGGTACGTGTGTCAATGACACCATCACGCAGCAAACTGCGCTACTCTATGAACGGCAAAACCTGGGTTACAAACCGAGTAACCTCCGAGCTCCAAGGTCCAAGCCCCGTTGTGGCTCCCTGGGTCTTGAACCTGTTCGCGCTTGCCTAGAGTTTGATGGTTTCAGCGCGGTTCACGGATTCGATGCACAACAAAGGCAGAAGTGCAGCCCTGCTCACGCACCTGCTGGCAGAAGGGCCTCCACTCGAGGGAGCTCCTGAGAGCCTGACTTGTCGGTATTTTTTGGCCGACTATTCCAGATATCTCCTCTGGTCAGACATCATAGAAGAGGTAGAAGTACCCCCACTTTACCCCACCACATAACTGCGCCTCCCCCTTTCATACCACTGGGTGGACAGAGGCAGTGGTGGCATCACCGGCTTTGTCCATGATGATGACATCTTGGTTGTTATTCCCTCTGGACATTTCCTGTTTATCTAGAGTCACCAGTATTTCACGGAACCCACCTCATCTTCACTGCATTTCCCCCGGGCGTCCACAGATCAGGTTGAGAAACCCCTGTGTTTTGGAACCCCCTAAGCACGATGGATCCTAACGGAGGCTTGAAAATGTCTTTGAGATCATTTGGCCCTGACCCCCTTGTAGGCGCAGCTTTCTTGTACCAAAAATAAGCTACGCCTTAACCTGTGGGAGCAATAAGTCTGACGAACGATTTCCCAAGTTATATCTCGCCTGTCGACGTACTTTATCACGTTATCACATGGTGGCCAAAGACTGTCCACTCGCTCCTGCCTGGCTCTTCTCCTGGCGTCCCTTTTATACGGTCAGACCGGAAGTGACCTCATGGGTTCAACCAACGGAGCGTCTAACCAAAAGGGGGTTCTAAACAGTTGGAATATTCCAAGTCAAGTATGCCCAATCTGTTAACAAATGTATGACAGATGGACATCAAATGTGTACACAGAAATAATACATTCACTTTCTGTCTCATGGCTCTTACCCCCTTTCCCCCTCCTCCCCTCCCGTGTACAGCAACAAGGTGGCCAAGGTACAGATCCTGGCTGAGAAGACGATGCTCTCGCCACTGGAGGGCGCCCGGTGCGCGTCGCTCTGCCGCCAGCTGCCTCCCTCGCCGCCTGCCGGACCCTCCGCCTCGCCCCAATACTGGCGGCGCTACCACAAGGTGGACCTGCGCACAAAGACAAAGGTCCCCCGTGTAGCCTACACACGCCGCCATCGGAGCAAGTGCTGTTAGCGAGTAGCACCTGGCTGCCACTGTCTCCCCAGTGCTGATGTTTAGACACAGCACCAGGTACTCATTGAAGGCTGAGTGGACCTCGGGGAGGCCTCGGACCGGTTCGAATATTCCTCGCTGAGGTTGGCCGTGAGTTGGAATTGAACTCGGACTTATGGATTCATAGTGCAGTGTGCTAACCACTACGTCACCGTTCCGCCATACATATAAAGACAAAGATCTCCCGTATAGCCTTAACAGACTGTTGGAGCAAGTGCTGTTAGCGAGCACCTTCGAAAGCCGGCACGGTACACGAGTAGGTGAGTGACCAGCACCACGCTCGACCGCCTTTGTTGTTCCATTGGCGATGTTTACACACCACACCCGTACACACACACATGCCTACCACTAATTAAATACTTCCAAGGACAAACGCGTGTTGGACAGCATTGCATAATCCATGCGTATGCGTGATTTTTTCCAACTTGTTTTCCAGAGGAAGTTTCACTGCGCCAGCCTCACGTGGTGGCCGCCCTGGGTCTACTCTCTGTACGACGCCGTGAGTGTTTAACCTCTCCCTGGGTCTACTCTCTGTACGATGCCGTGAGTGTTCAACCTCTCTCTTTGCTCCCAGTCAACGCTGCCCTCCAGCTGCCATCGGCTAAAGGAAACCGCTTCTGGCATCGGCCAAAGTACAGTGTTGAGTCCTCGTCTGTAAAATGGGTGTTAAATACCCTGCAATTCTATTGTTCACAGAAGTAGGGTGTGTTCGCATCGTTGGTCAAAGCACTACATTTGACAATAACACATTAAATTGAATTGCAAACCCCTACGAGCCTGTGGCTAGAATTGGAAGTTTTATGTGGTACACTGACTTGGCAGTCCGATTTGACGCATCCTAGTCTGGCTCAGATTCCTATTTGACTTTTTCACTGTTGACACGACGCACTGAGCCTAACTCTGCGCAGCGAGATTAGGCGGCGCCGCTTGGCCTGAGTGGCGCACACTCGTGCCACCCTGGTTGCTTTTCCCGCCCCGTACCTTGTGCCCCCTCGGTTGTCGTTCCTGTCGACAGGATACTCTGATGGAGAAGATAAAGCGGCATCTGCGCGAGTGGTACGGAAAGCTGAGGGAGAAAGCGCTGCCTGACAACGCCATAGGTATCGTAACGCTCTCTCTCACCTTTCCACCTTTTCGTTTCGCGGCCACAACCGTCCATCCGGGAGCGGTGGGACGTTCCGTGCAAGTGGTCGTGCCATTTTGGGCATGGGTGGAAAAAACCCGATTTTTCCAGCGGCAGGCATCGGCTTTTTTCTTTAATACAATTAAACCCGATTTTGGGGAATTAAAACCTGGTTTAAGGAATATGAAACTCTGATCCAAGGCTTAGGCTGCTTCCTCGTCGGTGCTGGTATCGTACTCGGGGGGGCCGTCGGGCACGGGGTAGTCGTAGAATGCGGCGGGCAGGTTGGTCTTGATGAACACGAGCTTCTCCACAATCGTGGGCGCCAGTGAGTTCCTTAGCTTGGAATGGATGAAGCCCATCGTTGAGAAGTTGGCGAAGTGCGGTTCTGCAATTAGAACCAATTAAACCAGATTTCTCCCAATCTCAGATGATCGGGTTTAATATAAAAAGACAATTAAACCCGATTGTAAAAACCCCGACTGTGCCACCCTTGATTTTGGGAGCGTTGCCCACGTGAACGCGTCGATGGCGTGACACGCCGTGTGTCCCCGCACAGACTTCTCCTACTGGGTGGCCTCGTGTCTACCCATAGACAACGACGTGCGCCTGAGCCTCCTCACCGTGAGCAGCGCCGTGCAGAGGCTGCGCTGCGAGCTCGACATCCTGGAGAAGGTGGGAGTGCGCGGCCCGCGGCGGCGGTGGCATTTGGTCGCTTCATCGCTCAGGCCTTCATGCGCGATGTCAAAATACCCACACACATAGACATATATATACTACGAAGTGAAAATGTGAATGCCATAGCGTCTGTACTTTGTTGAGGCCGTTGGTCCTGTTTGACGTTTGCGATAGTTTTGTAACGAGCGCTTCTCTTCGTGTGTTCCAGTGCACGTCGCTGTGCTGCAGGAACTGTGACATGGAAATCACCATGCGGGGCGAAATATTCAGGTAGTCATCGTCGTCGCGCACAGAACGGCACACAGGGAGACACACAGGGTGAGACACAGAGTGACACACAGGGTGAGACACAGAGTGACACACACAGAGTGACACGCAGAGTGACACGCAGAGTGACACACAGAGTGACACACAGAGTGACACGCAGGGTGACACGCAGAGTGACACACAGGGTGACACACAGGGTGACACACAGGGTGACACACAGGGTGACACACAGGGTGACACACAGAGTGACACACAGAGTGACACGCAGGGTGACACACCCTCCTCATCTCGTTTGCTTCTTGTGTTGCTGAATCGTGACAGTGTGCCCCAAAATGGCACAAATCGGAGCTCCAAAGAAAGCGCTGCAAATTGTGGGGGGGGGGGGGGGGGGGGTTCTTTTGTCAGTGGTTGTTTGACGGAGTCTCCGCTTCGAACTGGCAGTATGCTTGCTGACTGCTTCCTAACGTAATCGTTGTCCTTTTCACCATGCTGCACGGGGTCATTCCGTAATCGCGGAACATTCGAACGCTGCGGTGCCTTTATACGGGTACATTGAGAGCGATGAGGTGTGGTCATCAGAATTAATTGTGTTCAGTAAATTGGTCGCCTCAGGTTATAAAAGCATCTCCAGGAAAGCCTCGCTGAGTCTCAAGGCTCCTCTTTGCAGGGGTCCTGGATTAAGATGTTTGACCAATTACATTCAAGGTCACGTGTTTCTCAATCCTTGCACTCCCCTCTCATCTCATTTAATATTTATATTTAAGCGCCTTCATTCAAGGCGCTTGCCGTTGTTTAGAAAACAGTGACCGAATAGAATGATTCAGATGGCAGAGGCGTGCTACAAAGGTTGAGGAACGAGTGACCATGATAGAGGGAACTTTAGGGATCACGAAAGGGTAGGGGAGGGATGGGAAGGAGTGGAGGGACGAGGGGAGGGAAGAGGAAGAAAATGGGGAATAGAGAGGAGGTGGGGCCTTAAGAGAGGAATGGAAGCAGGTTAAGGAGGGGGACTGCTTCATGTACAGGGGCAGTGCTGAGTCTATGGGCATTGTTGAGTATATGGTGCAGTGTTGAGTATATGGGCAGTGTTGAGTCTATGGGCAGTGTTGAGTCTATGGGCAGTGTTGAGTCTATGGGCAGTGGTGAGTATATGGTGCAGTGGTGAGTCTATGGGAAGTGGTGAGTCTATGGGAAGTGGTGAGTCTATGGGCAGTGGTGAATCTATGGGAAGTGGTGAGTCTATGGGCAGTGGTGAGGCTATGGGCAGTGGTGAGTCTATGGGCAGTGGTGAGTCTGTGAGTCTATGGGCAGTGCTGAGTCTATGGGCAGTGCTGAGTCTATGGGCAGTGCTGAGTCTATGGGCAGTGCTGAGTCTATGGGCAGTGCTGAGTCTATGGGAAGTGTTGAGTCTATGGGCAGTGGTGAGTCTATGGGCAGTGCTGAGTCTATGGACAGTGCTGAGTCTATGAGCAGTGGTGAGTATATGGTGCAGTGTTGAGTCTATGGGAAGTGGTGAGTCTATGGGCAGTGGTGAGTATATGGGAAGTGTTGAGTCTATGGGAAGTGGTGAGTCTATGGGCAGTGGTGAGTACATGGGCAGTGTTGAGTCTATGGTGCAGTGGTGAGTCTATGGTGCAGTGGTGAGTCTATGGGAAGTGTTGAGTCTATGGGCAGTGTTGAATTTATGGTGCAGTGTTGAGTCTATGAACAGTGTTGAGTCTATGGGAAGTGTTGATGAGTCTATGGGAAGTGTTGATGAGTCTATGGGCAGTGTTGAGTCTATGGGCAGTGGTGAGTCTATGGGCAGTGTTGAGTCTATGGGCAGTGTTGAGTCTATGGGCAGTGGTGAGTCTATGGGCAGTGTTGAGTCTATGGGCAGTGTTGAGTCTATGGGCAGTGTTGAGTCTATGGGCAGTGTTGAGTCTATGGGCAGTGGTGAGTCTATGGGCAGTGGTGAGTCTATGGGCAGTGTTGAGTCTATGGGCAGTGTTGAGTCTATGGGCAGTGTTGTGTCTATGGGCAGTGCTGAGTCTATGGGCAGTGTTGAGTCTATGGGCAGTGTTGAGTCTATGGGCAGTGTTGTGTCTATGGGCAGTGTTGTGTCTATGGGCAGTGTTGTGTCTATGGGCAGTGTTGTGTCTATGGGCAGTGTTGTGTCTATGGGCAGTGTTGAGTCTATGGGCAGTGTTGAGTCTATGGGCAGTGTTGAGTCTATGGGCAGTGTTGAGTCTATGGGCAGTGTTGAGTCTATGGGCAGTGCTGCTCAATGCACAGGGGGAGTTTATTCCAGTGGAGGGCTGCAAGGAGGGAGAAGGATCGAAAACAAGATTGGGCACAGAGAGAAGGAAGGACAGAGAGAAGATTGGGAATGAAGAGGTGAGGTGGGGTGGAACGAGGCCCTGGAGAGATTTAAATACGAGCGTCAGGTATTAAACGGGAAGCCAGTGGAGTTATAGAGCATCTTGAGTGAAGATTAGATTCGACTTAAGTGTTAGTGGGGTTCATTTCTTGGCTTGTGAGAGGAAACCGGAGTGCCCACAGAAAACTGTCGGGTGTCTGGGCGCGGTGGCGCATCCTGTAATCCAGCACTTTGGAGATGGACTTGGTGGATCATTCGGACTCTCTTGCACTGTGAGGTGCCGATGGGTGCCAGGACGGCGGATGCGTTCCCCACCGCGCGTGAAGGTTTGAGCGTTATCTGCTCTTTACGTCTTTGCTTGTTGGCGTGCCTCAGGAATGGCGCCAGGTTGTTTTTCAACAGCGAGACCCGAGCCGTGCCGCTGACGTCACGCTCGCCCCCCCCCCCCCCCCCCCCGTGCTAGACTCGGACGCCTGCTGGCGCCTGCCAGGATGTGGCACCTCCCCGGTCACGGGAAAGGAGTTTCACAACATTTGTGTGCGATCCAGCAACCCTCGCAGCCTTCTCCACAGTGCTGCATTACAGGCAGCCACGTGCGTAGCCATCACCGCAGCACGGCTGTAATGCCAAACCATGATATTGGTCACTTCGCATTGTTTCTGAAAAGAAACGGCAGCACTTGCTGTGCAGCTTGCAGTAGCCAACATCCACCCTGAATGGGCGACAGGCATGCACGGCTACCGTGCACGCAGGGATTTAAGAGCGCATGAAGAGACGGTTGGATGTCGTGTAAATGAATAATTTAGGGGGCGGGGGAGGGGAATGGGGGGCTTTTCCTCCGCCGGATCTGGCCAAGAGATTAAAAACGAAAATGAATGCACGAGGCTTTGAAAGCCATTTGCAGTCACGCATGGAATGCGCTTGTAGAGATGAAAGCCTGAGACATGTCTTTAAAATTGCCGTGCATTAATAATTTTTCGTCCTGAATAAATAAATCTATGCTGTGGCCTAATTTGTCAAAGATCAAATATATTTAAGTACAATCGTTCAGTTTTCAATCAATGCCCATAGGTAAGAACTCGCAGCAATCTTAACTTTAAAAAAGCACAGTTTGCACGGAATATGATTCATTGCCTCCTTGAGCCTGAACCACCAATCTCATTACCATCGTTACCTGCGATTGTTGGACGTGCCTATTAGAGGGCGCGCACCGCACAGGGTCCTGTGCGTGACGCATTAATTCGTCGAGCGTGGCTCTTATTCCCGTGGTTGTTGAAGAGTGCTCGGTGCATGTGTGTGCCTCCAAGTCGATAAGCGTGCGTGTACGTGCGCTACGGCCTAAGGCACCCGGGTTCACAGCACGAGCTATCAAATCGGTTTGATCCAGTCCTGGGTGTCCGCTAGGCCTCTCCTGTCCCTTCTGTGCAAAAACTGCCGTGTTCCAAATTCTGCCTCGTGTTGAGATGCAATTTATATGAATGGTGCCGTATAAAAAACAAATAGTGTTATTCTTTGAGTTTTGCTCAGTTAAGTGAAGAATATAGTTTAAATGTTTGTTTTTTGTGTCGTCATTGGTAACTGTCCATTAAACTCGCTACAATTGAAACCCCAGATTTTAATCGCGGGTGGCTACCAAAGCCCGGATCTCAGCAGTGCCGCCTCGGTGCTCCGACGTGGGCACTGCACGGCCACCCAACACCATCTGTCCGCCACCACGTGTGAATGATGCACAGGTCCTTTTCAGAAGCACACGACAAATTGCAATTTAAATGCCGTGAACAAATCGTAACTAAAGGAGAACATTGGGGTGGACGGGAGGTGAGAGTGTGGGATTGGCGTCGCCGACAGTTCTGGGTGTGGATCCAAGCGGCTGCCCATCGTTAAAGGGGGTTCTCAAGCGGAGCGAGTCCACCGTCTCGGTGCCCGTCACCAGTCACTGCAATGTGAACCACCACGTTGAGTTGGTTCGGCACTTGTCTAGTTTCCAGTGCAATTTACACCACGGCCTCAAAGCCAACAACAGAGAAGTGCGCTACAAAATGTGTAACGGAGCGTAGGGGCACCTTGACTGGCGTATCTATGTACAACTAACTTACAAAACTTGCAGTGCTCCAATTGTGTTGAAACAATATAATTTCGTTTAACATGTAGGCTTTCGCGACCAATATTATCGATAGAGGTTTATTGGGTCAGATCGTGTAAATATGTGTCGTTAACCCACCACCACCACCCAACACTGTCCCAGGGGTGTTGCCAAGTCTGGGTTCGGAGTCCCTGCTGAGACTGCTACGGTGTGGCGAGGATGCGGTGCGACCCGCCCTTTGCCTTCTCACTTTAGTCGTCGGTCTCCCGACGACTAAAGTGAGAAGACCACACGCCCAGAGGAGGACCTTCTTGTGAAAGTCGCGAGACCCGGCGAGGCTTTCCTCCGTGGATGACGACGACGGCGTGGTCGTTAAACTGAGAGCGTGCCGCTGCTGCTGCCACCGCGGCTGATGCCACCGCTGCTGCTGTGTGTGTTGCAGCCTCTCGCAGTACGGCCCGATGGCGGCCTACGTGAACCCGCACGGCTACGTGCACGAGACGCTCACCGTGCACAAGGCGTCCAGCCTCAACCTCATCGGCCGCCCCTCCACCGAGTACAGCTGGTTCCCTGGGTACGCCGCTCGCTCACTCACTCACTCACACACATACTCACCCCTCCACCAAGTACAGCTGGTTCTTTGGGTACGCCGCTCGCTCACGCAGAGGAGTGAAGACATCTCGCCGCTGTCGTTCAAGCCGTCAACCCACACGCCGTCGCCGGGCGGGTGTTGACTGAACCCCCCGCCCGGGACAGGCGGGTGAGCGAGTCTGAGGGAGCGTAGGTGAGGGCAGCGGTGGAGATGCAGAGTGGCTGAGTGCAGAGTAGCTGAGTGCAGAGTAGCTGAGTGATTAGCTGAGTGCAGAGTGGCTGAGTGCAGAGTGGCTGAGTGCAGAGTGGCTGAGTGCGGAGCTGCTGAGTGCAGGATAAGTGAGGTGCAGAATAGATAAGAGCGGGGAGAAGTCAAGTGTATGTGACCGTACAGATAGTTGTAGGCGCGAGAACAGGTAAATTATCATTTAAGCAGGTGAATTGTTACAGCGTGTCGGTGCGAGTAATTTTTGAAGACACTACACATGTATCTGTCACGTAAAGCCTCCATTATATCCATGTCTCCGTGGGGTGAATTGCGATGGGGTCAGGAGGTAAGAGGCCTGGTGTGAGTCACGTGGCCACTGCTCCTGATTGTAGGCCTGGGCGGTGGAGAGCACATTCTGAGTGTGAGATCGATGTCTGGGTGATTTCAGCGAGACCGGGATGGAAACGGTGTTGCCCGTTCATCCCCTTATGCAGCAGCAGCAGCAATGGCATGCCAGCCGTGTGGCTGGGCAGCAGAGCGAGTGGCTCACAATCGACGGTTGTGAGTTCAAATCCTGGTTGAGGGTCGACTCGGTCCGTAAATTTTGATAAAAAATATTTCACATAGAAAATCCCTGAGAATAGAACATCTGGTTTGCAAGTGTGTCAATTTATTTCAGTTTTTGAATATGAAATCCAGCTCAAGTACATTTCCAATCGCCTGAGAATAAAAATGGTGACTTTTATTTTTTTTTTAAATCCTTTCTTATTTGCGTGGTCAAGGAACAGGAAATGACAGTGGTGAAAGGGAAGCGGAGAATGCATGAAGTTGGCCCCGATCGCTCGCCAGCATTACCTTCGTGACCACCGACAACACAATCGCAAATGAAACCCTGTGAAGGCAGATCTGGGAAGAAGGGCTCGTACTCTCTCGCACATTTAGCGGCCGATCACCGCTCTGGGACGCTGGATACCGAACCGTTTGCGGGCCACGGTATTCGGTGAATAAAATCAGGTGCCTATTGTGCGCAAAATTACGCAAAGTGCCTCATCCCGCGTGGTGGTGCGATATTGCAGGGAACCTGCTCGGCGGAGCCTCGAGAAAAATGACACTGGGTAGCCACAGGGGGTCCGGGCTTTATGGTTAATCAGGGAGAGTGACATTTGCCAAAAATTGCACGTCCAAGTTAATCTGTCGTGATTGCTGAGTAGGCTGTCGTGCGCATCACACGGGGCGTTGTTACCGAGCGGCCCGCATCCTGTGATTGATGGCGGCGTGGTAGAGATAAACTGCGTACTCCGGTCATATGGAAACGGGATTGGTGGATCACCTAGACATTTAATTAAAACATTCTCAGCAAGCAGCTTTATTCATTCCATTGAAATATGTTCTGTCTGTCAGTAACATATGGCAGTCTTTTAAACCTCCTTGATAATTTCTAGTCGGCATGTGCATGACCTCTCCCATCCGCTACGTACGTTGCTGTTGACATGATACCTCTATTACTTCATGGTAATTGTTCACGGCTTCGACGTGTTTTTAATTCGGGGCACACGGATCATAGTGTTGATGGTGACCATGCTCTGACAACTTGGGTAACATTTCTCCATCCTTTCGTAACACACTTTATCTTGAGCAACCCCTGGTAATTACATTCAGGTAATTGCAGATGAACAAAACTACGTGAACATGAACAGTTCTGGACAATTTTTTAAAAGTCACTTTAAGATGTAATTTTTTTTTTATACGTCACTTGTAAAATAGGGTCGAGGTGATGTTCAGTTAGAACATTGTTTCACCGAGCTTTGAGCTCACACTGCCCTGAGAATTCCGGTTTGAGCATCCCGGCAGCAATCTCAAGCGCGATGAGTTTATGGTCTCAGCCCGGTCACCCACTAAAAAAAGACCCATCACTTTAAGTTTGTCACTTAATTACGCCTACAATTAAAGCTTCCGTAATGAAAATAACATTGGTTTGGCTGTCATGTGAGGGATGATGTGCCGAGTGAGCCCTCACCGGGATTTAAACTTGCAACCTGTCAATCGTGAGCCGAGCCCTCCGCCACAGTCTCACTCGGTTGGGGCTCTTTGTGCGTGAAAACGCCCCCTGGGTGTGGTGGGGATACCAACATCGAGACAGAGTCGGTGGATCGCACAATAATGAGTTTAGCACAGAATTCCCACTTGCGGGGCAAGGAAGGGCCTGTAGAAGGCAGTACAGCAAGTAGGTTTGTGTCAGCTGTTGAGATTTTGACTGCTTCTGGGTACGATGAGCAGGTTTTCATATTCTTGGTTTTTTCGGTAAAGTCACGTAGAAGAGAAATAATAAAATAATAAAAATAAAACTATTAAATTCTCACAACGTTTCGATTGCAACACAAGCAATCATCATCAGGTCTGAAAACCACAGCAAGAAATTTTGAAAAAGTGGCGTTATTTTCTTAACGTTAGCACCACGGACAGCAACTGGCGGTTGTTCAGACGGATGAGTCCATCTATGCACGGAACGGGGGAGAGGGGGAGAGAAAGAGAATGGAATGTGGTCTGAAAGTCACCGTAAGCGTGAACACAATCAATTAAGACCCGAAATGGTTTATCAAATCCTTCCAATGATTGCTCAGCCAGAATCCATCTTCTCGGTTGAAATTGTCTCTGTGTTTGTATATGTGGATAGCCTCATGAACGAATCTCTCATGGTAGCCAGATGGCTTGCAGAGAACCTCTGTCTTGGAGAAGTCAATGTCCTGTGAGCCCACTGAATTGTAACAGTGGTCTGCCACAGCTGAGGAGGCTTTGTGGATGTCCGTGATATTGCCCGCGAATTGGCGGTGCGGGCAGCGTGGAGTTTTATGACCCCCCCACGGTCTGACTGTAGCGACCGCCGTCACACTGCGGACTATTCGCCGTGTGAATGGTGCAATGCTGCAAAAGTCTTTGATACAAAATTATATGAAACTATAATTACGTTTGGTGATGAAATCATTTTTTTAGTTAAAATGTCAGTGACTGAACACAAACGTGAGTAATACTATAATTGTCATAAATTAAGATGTTATTCATGCACATGCTTTTAAGTTAAAAGATGTTCACAATTTAGGAACACGGTTATTTTAATAAGTGCAATAATAAATATATAATCCTTAAGCAAATATAATGTCCATTGTGCTTTGGGTATTACATAATTTAATGAAGCCAGCAAAATAAATCCTTTGCTAAAGCCATTTACCATAGCGGTTTAATATTAATATATGTATTCTCAGTTGCATCAAGAGATGCTCTTAATTGTACTTAAATAGCCACGTGCGTGGGCATATCTGTGTGTTTGTGTGTATCCGCTTGTCTGTGAGCTTTTCTTCCTTGGTCAATTCCACATGATGGTTTCTTTCGCATAGAAAACACAAAGCAGCTGCGACTCATTGGGTGGCTTTGTTTTGGACGTCTCGAGTCCCAGCGATTCCCACCGAATTCTAAACACAGCAGACCCTGCTGCGGTGGCGAGTAACGGAAAGCGCTCTGGACTTGCGATCCAGAGGTCCGCCGGTTCGTTCCCGTGGCGATGGTCAAAACAACGGCGCCTGTACCCTAAATCCCGCCCCGCCTCTGTCCACCCAGAAGTTTAAATGGGTTCACCGCAGTTAGTCGATCGGCAGGTCGCGCGTGATGGGGTAGAGTATGGGTGACTCCCACCTATTCCCAGATGTCTGGCCAGCGTGGAAGAGGAGGCCAAGTTTATCCTGTAGAGGGCCTCTCTAGTGCTTCCGCTAGTGGAGGCCATTCTGCCGGCAGTGCCGTGAGTAAGAAGATGCAGGGCTGCACCTTTATCTTTTTCACTATTACCTTTTGAAACATACTTTTCGTGTAACTTTTTGTTTACGATGCAACAGTTTTCACACGAGGACACGGATTGGTAGTTGTCGCTGTAGAGCAGGGTTGGCCAACCTATAACAGACCCAAAAAGTAGCCGTGACTTCTGCAAAGAGCCTAGTGTATATATAAGCGTATATATACGAGTTCTCAGGCACAGCACGGGAGACATTCATTATGCTTTGCTACTGTGACGGTATGTTCTACATTATGCCCCTTCGATAGAGCCGCGTGTGGTGGATTAAAGAGTTTCACGCGACTCGGGAGATGCCGTTTGACGACCGCCGCGATAGAGGGACGGGAACCGTCTCCTGCATGTAACTAAGAGAGTATTTGGCTGCTATACATTTCCACGCGATAATCCACTTAATTAGGCTATCATTTGTGATAGCCAGGTCGCTTCTGAAACATAACTACGAAGCTCAGCGGGCCTTACCTGGTAGAATTAAACATGGTTGAGTAGAGAGACGTCACTGCGAGCGTGCTGACCGTGAGGCCACCGCCCGCTGCACCGCCATGCACCCGTTGTGACATTTCTCAAACACACAACGCGTGCGGGCGGGAGAAATGTCTCCGCCGTCCCTACTGATCAGCAGAGCATCTCGGGCAAAGTGCACAGTGAGGTATGACGCCCTCGTGTGCGCTCAACAGACTTTCCGGACAAACAAAAGCAAAACCAGGCTGGGTATTTTTAGTTTGACTCAAAAAAAGGTCAAAAGTGATTTCCTGCTCAAATTAACATTGCGGTGGTGTTCGTCTCCTGCGTACAGCCCCGAGCCACTGGTGTAAATTCCACATTCCTATGGCGGGGGTGACTATCCTTAGGCCAACCACTGTTGACTTCCCCATGGACTACTGATACTTATTTTATCGATCTTGGTGGGACGATGTACTTACTCAACCCCCACCAACCACGATTTGAACTCTCAACCACTGAGCCACCCGACCAGGCGTATTCACGTCAACCCCCCCTCTCGCACACTTTGCTTTTCCAGAAAATCTTCATTGAGTCTCCAGACTGTTTTCGTGGGAGGTCACGCATTAGGATGTTAAACACATTCCTGTTTCTCGTGAGTGTCTTGTACATGGATACAACCCGAGCACTTGGAGACAAAGCCTGGATTTGAGAAATAATGTAAAAACATATTAACAGGTCAGTCGGTGACCATTTTGCTGTACTTCCATCCACGAGCCGATTTAGAAATCTCACGGCACAGAATGACATCTGTGAGATTGACCAACCCTCTCTAACATCATCATCAACCATTGTCTATCCACTGCTGAATGAAGCCCACCCCATATACTGCCAGCATCTCTCACGGTTCTGCAATGCCGCAAATCCATCTCAACCGACACGTGATTGCATCTTGCTGCTCCTGCTCTGCACTGGGCCTCCTCTTGAGTGCTCTCTCTCATTTTCTGTCAACATCAAATTTGAATTGGCTCATGCTGTTTGTGTATATCATTATTTTTCCATTGCAGCTTTTTAAAATTATTTTCTAACCTTACGCCTTGCCTGACTCCCCGTTGCGTTTTGCTGCTTTCTTCATGCAGTCTAAATTTATTGGTTCATTTTTACATATTTATAAGTGCATCTAGGCACGAGCAGTACTTGTGCGAACAGCCTGTAAAGCTAAAAAAGGGATGATGTACAAGATAATAATGGATGTTTTTGGGATAACAAAAATGTGTTTTTTGAATGACAAATTAAATTAATTCACTTCAATGTTTATTTGTTACACGGATAATCCCGTGTAGCCAGTTACCCAGCTATAGTTAGCAAGGGAGATCCATGAGGCACCGGCACAGACCGAATTCACGTTCACCATCATAATAACTCTACACAAGGGCGTCCGACTTGTTTAGATGTAGAAGATGAGCCTTGGTCGGTGATGTCACAGACCAGAGGCAGTTGCGGGGTTACCACGTGAGTGGTGAGCGCCTCCCCGCCCCGCGTGACGGCGGTGAGCGTGCGTCACAGTGCCTGGCGTCTCTCCCGGAGGGAGCTGCGGTACAGATCGGTCGTACAAAACTCGGAGGACTCAAGAAGTCACAAATGTGACGCACGTGAGAACCCAGGAATGTTTTATGCAGCTCTGCACTCTTTAAGGGAAAGCAATTTGTACAAAAAATTGGTTTTCATTGCACAATTTGTGAAAATTGTGTTACCACCACTGAACAGCAATCTCAGGGGTCCTTTAGAATAATGGCCAAAAGATGGGGAGTGCTTTGGGATGGAGGATTTTAATTCTTTGCATGACCAATCATCCATGACATTCACCCGCTCTCGGTTAAGTACGCATTGAAAGCCCTGACGTTCATTACACGTTGTGGAGGATTCGGTGAATTTAAAAGCGGGGTATGTTTTGTTGAGTGCAGCTGCTAATTTTGTGATTGTTCCGGTTCAAAATGTAGAGTGTAGTGGGTGTCTCCCGATATTACAGAATTATAATTGGTCAACAGTTTGAGCTGCACACTTGAAATGTTGGTGACGTAATTCATTTTTAAAAATGTCGTGCTTAAAGCTCAACTCATCTTTGACAGCACCTAGCATAAGGATTCTGCATCGTCACTACCCAAGATGCGGGAACTTTCCCAAATTGTCATTGTGGACACGTGCTGGTTTAGAGTGATGAGACTTGTGCGATAAACATCTCCCTACGACCACGATCGTGTGCATGTAGTTGTATTGTCCTTTCTCAAACTCTTTTCTACCGTCCGTTCATAGCGGATGATGCATCTGGAGCAGAGTCCGGCAACCTGTGTCTCGAGCCGCATGCGGTGGCTCTTGAAGGACCGCTGCTGCTTCTTGATGTTTATTTATCAAAGGACCATCACATTGCATTATGGCTCCTGGAATTTTTTGTTTTTTACCGAATTTGAAAAATAATTGTCTTGTTATTTTGGTTGCTGACTCCTGATGGTGACGTACCCTGTGTATGTATCACACTGAGCCAGCACCACTGAAAACCTGGGTTCAAATCCAGGTCTAAACCACACGTAGCTAAACTGGTTTCTTCAGTGCACTCATTTAATGGACACAAAAAAAACTATATTATTAAATTAAGTTTTCACTTAATTTAGCTTAAACAGCCTCCCGAGAATATAAACATCTAAGTGTTTATCATGCCAGATGAAGGCCTCAAGCCGTCGCCACTTCTCACAGTTGTGCGATGCTACAATCCACCCACCATGGGCACAGGAGTGAATCTCATCGCTCCAGCTCCCCGGTACGCGTACCCTGACAGGTTCCTTCGCTTGGCTGCAAACTCGGTCAGCACTCTTGACCATGGGCCCCCTTCCCTTGTAGCCACGTGCGTTGTCCCCCCCCTCCCCACACCTTCCTTCACGATGTAACCTGCGAATGTCTTTGTTGCTCGTGTTCCTCGTTCTGCATCTCGATGTAATTCCAAGCGTTTTTATGCTAATATATGTTACTGTTCCTAAGGATTGCGAGTCATGGTTTTGATAAGGATCACAGGTCATACTGCTGCTGGTAGAAATAATGACGCTGCTGCTAATGCTGCTGCTGGTGATGATGGTCCTCTCGGCAGGTATGCCTGGACGATTGCTCAGTGCCGCGACTGCGGTAGCCACATGGGCTGGAAGTTCACGGCGACGCGCAAGGACATGTTGCCCGCAAAGTTCTGGGGGCTGACCCGCTCGGCGCTGAGTCCTCGCCTGCCCACCGTGGGCGGAGACGACGACGACGACGCCGCCGCCGCCGCCGCCAGGAGGGCAGAGGCGCGGCAGGGGACGGGAGACAGAGCCGCGGAGACGTGGAGACCCACGCTGTGAATGGAGCGCCCGGAACATCCGCCCCGCTCGCCACGACTACCACCCCCGCCGCTTTGGGCCTGGGCTGCGCGAGTAAGGCGGCCGTGCAGCCCAGACTCCTCGGCGGTCGGAAAACTCGAGCGATCCTGCCCAGATTCGTAATTGTCCCGTGAGGAGGTTCAACCTCGGGTTGCCGCCTGTGTGGGTGTTTGGGCCGGACAAAACCTGTAGTTGGCATCTGTGTCCGGGTGGCAGGAACCGATTTGTACCACCTCCCAAGTCTCTCTCTCCCTGCACGAGAGCGAGCGAATGCCGTGCGGCACGTTAACTCGCCGAAATTGTTATCGTGGTGAACGTCGAGTTTTCCGCACAGTTGTGACAGCCCTCGGCTGGTGAAGAGAGAGATGTCCCGTTTTGGTGTGTGGTGGAACAAGTGACAGCCCTAGGCTGGTGGAGAGAGAGATGTCCTAGTTTGGTGTGCGGTGGGACAGGTGGCAGCCCGAGGTGAAGCTCAAGGAATGGCTGCCCGCTAACATTAGCGCGCACAAGACGCGTCTTGGTTAGGGACGTGTAGGTCTACGATAGGAACGTCAAAGCCCCTGTTCATAACAGAATATATATTTTTTCACATTAATTTTTGCTGGTTATTTGTATCCGCTTTTGCCAAATTTCAAACCTCGACCAAGTTTGGAATGGCGACGCCCATAGCTCCTCCTCCCATCACCGTGGTGCGAGTCGCGATTGCGGACGCGGAGCTTCAGCGTTCGAATCTCTTGGTTTTTTCTGGGGTCGAACCGTCGACCCCCCCCCCCCCCCCCGTGCATCCCACGCAGACCCCGCGGGGGTTGTGGAGCCACCGTAGACGTTGACGAAATCTGGGTGGGATCGTTCTCGTTCACTGCCATGAATTCAAGACGTAAGCACGGATGCGCATGTGCAGTCAGCACAGCCTCGCTGGTCCTGATTTTGGAGTATCATTGTGTAATAAAGGACTCGACCACGATGTCTGGCTTGGTGTCCTTTATTCGGTTCTTCTCTCTTAACCCGCACGGCTGTCCTTCTATAAGACTCTATACTGACACTGATACTGCTCTCCTGCAGTTTCTCCCCTCGTCGTTCTCTCAGCCTCTCTCTCCTCTCGTCGCTCTCGTAGCCTCTCCCTCACACACAGCCTCGCCGGCTGTGTTCCCCGCAGCTCCTCGTCCGCCTTCTCTCCAGCCGCCCCACCGCTGTCTTCTCTCGCAGCTCCGCTGGCTGCTCCCTTAGCTGGCCACCGCTGGCCGCCGCTGCCACCCCTTGGCTTTGCCCACGTGGCCTTACTCTGGTCCAGTCCCACTCGTTCTCCCTTCCTCTTCCGGTCTCCTCCCTTAAGAACCTTAACCTTTCCTCCCACGTCACCTAACTCCACCTCTCCGTGACGTCACATCCGGGAGGTCGCCCGCGCCCGCATTACACCACCCTCCCCCGTGGAGAAAAACCCAGCCGACCTCGGCTGAACAACACCAACAGTAATGCGGGCGAACCCGAGCGTAACACACCAAAGGACACCAAGCATGCAATATAACAGTAAGAACAATCAACACAACTCAACAATCAATAACGTAGCAGAAGCAGGCAATAAATACACAGTAAGAACAATACAACATAACAATCAACGAAACACAAGGGATTTAGAGCGTGTGCGGGTCGCCGGCCCGTCCCGGACGGTCGGCGGCCCATCCGCGGAACGGGAACGTGATTGAGTTTGAGGAGCGACAGGGTGAAATCCCCCTGTCGCTGTTGGAAGTCCACCAACGTCCCGTGTCCTTGAAGGATCAGTCTTGGGCTTGTCCCGCGGATGCGTCTGCAGCGGGGTCGGAAGGGCTGCAGGGCTCGAAGGACCCGCAGATCTGGCAGGCACCCTCCGAGCAGAGCGCCTCGTCCCCTCCGGTGTCAAGGCCGGCCTGCCTGGAACAGGTACGACAGGCGCTCTAGCAAGATCAATGGACGCAGGCGGGGGAGAGTCGGCAGCAACAGACCCCGGCAAGGCAACATTGGGAGATGATGCATCATGTAGGGGAGCAACATACGGTTTCAAGCGCGACGTGTGAACAAACCAGCGGCGAGAACCAATTTGAACACGCGCCGACTGAGGATTAGGAACCTCAATGAGGCGGACAGGCCCTCGCCAAGGTTTGTGAAATTTGGGAGAGGTACCCGGCCGCACCTGCGGGCAATGGAGCCAGGCCAGGTCCCCAACCTTCCAGGGGCACTCCCCTTTGGAACGCCGTGCGTACCTCTCATTTCGGGCCTGAGCTTTGGCCGTAGCCACACGGGCACTCTCCCGCGCCTCCGAGACCCGGCGAACAGTGTCCCGAATGTAGTCAGGAAGCGGTTTACAAGGTCCCCTCACACCGGTTCCCATCTGCACATCCATTGGCGGCACGTTTTCCCGACCATACATAAGGTAAAATGGCGAATAACCCGTAGCCGCATGAGGAGTCATCCTGTACGCCGAAAGCACCCCCGGGATGTGCAGGTCCCAATCCGATTGTTGCTCACTCACCGTGTGGCACAGCATGGCAGACAATGTCCGGTTTAGCCGCTCAACCATACCATCCGTTTGCGGATGGTATGGGGATGTCCGGACCTTCTTAGTCCCTAGGCCCGCGCATACTTCCGCCAATAATTTCGAAGAAAAATTTCGGCCCTGATCCGTAAGGAGTCTCTCCGGCGCACCCTTGTCCATAACATATCCGAACAAAAAGGCGTCGGTAATGGCCGCGGCCGATTGATCGGGCAACGGCCAGGCCATCGGCCAACGGGAGAGGTACTCAACCCCGACCAGCAAATATTTATTACCCCTCGCCGAAGGTGGGAAAGGTCCCAAAATGTCCAGTGCCACCAATTCATTGACCCGAGACACCCGAATTGACTGTAAGGGTGGCACATAAGGATGTTTAGGAGGCTTACGCCGGGCACAGTCAGGGCACGCGCGGACGTGCCCCACGACATCCGTCGACATGCCGTGCCAAAAATAATCACGTTGCAACGTCAACAAGGTCTTCTGCACACCCAGATGTAATAGCGTGTCACAATGGAGAGTTCTAATCAACTCGTATCGGAGGGACGCAGGCACCACTAGACGCCAGTGTTCCTGGAGACTTTCCCTCCACATAAGCAGACCATCTCGGACCGCGGTTTCCGGCGCACCCTCCGTAACCGGACCCCCAACCTCCACTTTGGATCGCTTCCGCAAGGACACTAACGACTCATCCATCATTTGCTCCCTTATCCAAACAGACCGTGGCAGATTCAAAACCCCATCAGTCGGCCCCGGTTCCACAGTAGCATCCGACTTCTCCACAGCCAATACCACCGGCTGAGGGGGGGGTAGGCTGGGCGCACATCTCTGCGTCCCCGACGCACATTTGCAAGGGGAGCGCTGCGGCAACCTAGAAAGTGCGTCTGCGTTCGCATGGCGCACCCCTTTACGATGGTGAATTTGAAATGAAAATTCTTGCAGCGTGTCCAACCAACGCGACAGCTGGCCGGAAGGTTGATCCATTTTAAGGGCATATTGCAAGGCCGCATGATCCGTACGTACGATAAAGGAACGGCCGTACAGGTACGGTCGAAACTGACGTAGGAAAAAAACAACGGCTAAGAGTTCCCTGCGAGTGACACAGTAGCGTGTTTCCGCGGGCGACAGGACCCGGCTACCATACGCAACGACGCGCTCTACGCCCCCTTTAGACTGAGACAACACCGCGCCAATACCTGTGTCGCTCGCATCCGTATCAAGAATGAACGGTTGATTGAAATCCGGATAATCCAATGTTGGGGCGGTAGCCAACAGATTACGCAGACTCTGAAAGGCCGCCTCTTCCGGCGGTCCCCACGCAAACTTACGTCCCTTACCCGTAAGGAGGTGCAAGGGCCTCGCGATGGTCGCAAAATTCGGTACAAATCTTCGATAATACGAGGCAAATCCCAGAAAGCGACGTACATCCCCCACGGTGACCGGAGTCGGCCAATCTCGGACGCACGCCGTTTTTTCCGGGTCCGTAGACACCCCCTCAGCACTCACGATGTGCCCCAAATAACGGACGGACCGTTGCAGTAGGTGACATTTCTTTGGTTTAAATTTCAAGTTCGCGGAGCGCATCCTCGCGAACACCGTCTCCAGCCGCCTTAAATGTTCATCAAATGTGCGGCTGAAGACGATGATATCGTCCAAATATATGAGACATGTCTCCCACTGCAACCCCGTCAAAACGAGTTCCATGAGCCTTTGAAATGTGGCAGGGGCCGCATTCAGCCCCATCGGAAGGCAGTTAAATTGAAACAACCCCTGCGGCGTACGGAATGCGGTCTTCTCCCGTGAGGGCTCGTCAAGGGGAAGCTGCCAAAATCCCGAAGAGAGGTCCAGTGTAGAGAAATACTTAGCCCCCGACAATGCGTCGAGGGAGTCGTCCATACGCGGCAGGGGATACGCATCTGCCACCGATATCTTATTCAATTTTCGAAAGTCAACACAGAATCGCAATTTGCCATCCTTTTTCTTAACCAAAACCACAGGCGCGCCCCATGGGCTGTTCGACGGCGATATAATATCCGCAGCCAACATATCCTCCACTGCCCCCCGAACGTGTTCCCGCTCGGCCGGACTCATTCGGTGCGAATTCAACCGAATAGGGGCAGCGTCGCCTGTAGCAATGTGATGGTGAAGCAATGAGGTGCGTCCCAAATCCAAATCATTGGAGCTAAACACATCGGAATACGTCAATAACAATTTATGAAGCGCACCCCGTTGATCCACAGACAGGGAAGAATTTCCGTCACATAAGCTAGCAATCCAGCGGTCATCCGAAGCCACAGGCTCGGAAACACCAGCAACCACTCCCTGGCTATGCGAACAATCGTGAGCCGTAAATGCCGTGGTGGCATGTGCCACAACCGTGCCGGCTGGGACACAGACATTTTCCGTACCCGCATTGAGCACCTGCAAAAACGGTAATTGGTCTGGCCGGACGATGGTCTGCGCTCCGACCAGCGCCGATCCGGCCGTTATCGAGGCTGAAGGTGACAACAAGATCCCAACCGCTCCCAGCCGACCAGGCAGGGGCTTCCGATACCGCAGGGGAATAAGCATCTGTGAACCAGGTGGAATATCAACAGATGCCACGGATAGCGCCTGCACTTGTACGGCCGAAGCAGGTCGCCCCCAGGGCGACGGCAGAAACGAAATTTGACGGCCACCCGGCAGTTCAATACAATTCTCATTAATTTTGATCAAAATAGGCATCTTAGCCAGAAAATCAGTGCCCAATAAACAGGGAACTGCCAAGGATCTTGAAATCAACACAACGCCCGAGGCCGACACATCCCCAATAGATATTTTAGCGTCCACCTGGCCCACGATGCCCATACTACCCCCGTTCGCAGCGACGCACGACCCGTAAACCGGACGCACGGCCCCGGGTGGGATGCCTAACAGATGAAAAATGACATCCGAAATAATAGTCGCGGACGCCCCGGAATCGACCAAAATGCGCACGTCCACCCCTTGTATAGACCCCGGCACGGTGGACGAACCCGTAGCGGCCGCAACAACCCTCCGTGCCAATTTGCGCCACTGCGTCACAGAGCGACAAGGCCCCGTCGAAGGTCCCTCTTTAACAACAACACTATGACCGCACAACGAAGGTGATGGGTGAGGTGTAAAGCCTTGCCGGGTGTCTGGTGCGTGCCGACTTGCCTGTTTCGGTGGATCCTTGGGCGGCTTGGCCGGTAATGAGGCCTCCTGTTGTGGCGGACCCGGGATGCGGGCCCAGCAGTCCTTCGCGTAGTGGCCCTTCCGTCCGCAGCGGAAGCAATCGGCGTCGTTGCGCCGAAGCGCAGGCCTTGCATCGCGCCGCCCGCGTATCGGCGGTGCAGCACGAGAGGCCGGTCCACCGCGGCCTGACCATGGCACCGAGGCGGCCGTCAGCTC